CGCGGGAGTTTTCAGCTCCTTCATCCGTTGTTACCTCTCTGCGCTTTACAGTAGGTAAGGCCGTACAGCTTAAGCTTTGCCTGATCCCTCAGCACAGCGAGGGATCCATCCGCCCCTCCCCCCTGGCCGCATGTACGCAGATCGGCGCATGCTCATGCAAGGGCTGGATTTATCATATCTAAGGATGGGTTAGGAGTAATTTCGCGTTCGCCCATGTTTGCCACTGCCATCAGCTGTCGCATCTTGTGGCGTGGGTGCGACGTGATCCCAACCGTGGTGTCGGTTGTGGCTTCGGTTCGTGCCGTACGTAAAGGCGAGGTGATGTTGCGCAAGGCCGATGGTAGCTCCGCCAAGGCTGTGGCAAGAAGGTTCCATCCCTTCTCGCGGTGGCTAGCCGTGGTTGTCCAGTGGCCCGTTGCGATCCCATGGTTGTTCCGTGTGTTTTCCGCGGTCGTACCGTGTTGTTTGTCCGTGGGTTGTCTTTGGGGTTGTTTTGTGACTTGTCCCGTGGTTGTCTCGCGAGTTGTCCCCATGGGTGTTGTCCGAACGTTTTCCCGTGGGTTGTCCAGTGGGTTGTCCCCTGAATTGCTCCGTAGTTTGTCCCGTGAGTTGTCCCATGGATTTTGTCTTACGGATGTCCCGTGGGTTGTCCCGTGTTTGTTTTATGGGTGTCCCGTGGGTTGTCCCGTAGGTTGTCCGACGTTTGTCCCATGGGATGTCCCGCGGGTTGTCCCATGGGTTGGTTATCCTGTGGTTGTCCAGTGGGTTGTGTTTCGGTTGTCCCGTGGGCCATGGTATTCGAAGTGCGAATTCAAGTATAACGGTTTGCACATGGAAGTGCAAATCAACATGCGGATCTAAATGCACATGTATTCGCACATGGATTGCAATCGGACATGCGTATCGGAGTCAACATCGAAGTGGACATCGATGTACGACATGCAATGCACATCCAATTAACATCGCACGTGTACATACAATTCGAACCGTAGTTCGAATTGCAATCCAATAGCGGCAATCGCATTACACGTCGGACTGCGTATCGAAATGCAACCCCCATTCTATCTACAATCTAACCGCATACCTAACTAATTAGCGTTCGAATGCGAGTCGGAGTGCAAACCAGATGCACATCGGAACGCACATCGAGCTGTAGGTCGACATGCAAGTCGAAATGAATGTCGAGATGCAAATGACATGAACCGACGTGCAAGTCTAATTGACATCCGAATGCACATCGAGATGCACATCGGATTGCACGTCGAAGTCGAATCAGCATTCACATCGAAAGTTGCAACCGTTATGCAAGCTCCTCAGCGGCCCCCCACCTCTTTGTCATCCGAAGGGAGTGGCCTGTGAGGTGGAATGCTGCGCTCGCTTCTGCCGAGACTTTCTTGCACGTCCTGACGGTTTCACTCCACACCTGCTGCCGCTTTTTAGCGTGGCGGCGCTGCTCTGCGGTGGAACGTACCCTGAAGGGGGCAGCAGTTCACGCGGGGTGCCCGGTGTTTTTTTCGGAGTGGCCGGCCTCGTCGCGCGAACGACTTCTAAGGAGCGTTCGAGAACGTGTTGTGCTCGTCCGTGGGCTGGGCGGGAGAGACAAATCAGGGCGCGTACAACTAGTGCAGCAGATCTCCTCCCCACTTCTGGGTGACCTGCGCTGCTCGAGATGGCATCTCGGACAGCGGCCTGGCTTGGCCTGCCTCAGCCTTTCCTCGTGCCCTGGCGTCACCCCACGGTGGGCAGGTGGAGTGGGCGGGCCTTCTCAGAAGGCCCTGACGGCCCCCGGTGTTCGGAGACGCTCTCGATCGAACCCTTCTCCGAAGCCGTGGGCAGCTTCTCATAATGTCGGAGGGCTTCTGAGAAGCACCGCCGCCTTCTGAGGAGGCTTGCCCCCTCATGCTTCCTCCCTCGGTGCGCTGCCGAATGGGTTTGCTCCACGTTCATGTCTTTCTTTTCTCAAGATCCACGCGGCATGCCAAGGCTCATCTTGTAACGAGTCGCGCTGGCTGGGAAGCACTGCCCTCAAATTTGTATTGATCCTGGATCCGAGGCTTGTCTGCGTGCTCGCCCGTGATGTGACGTCCAATGACCATCGAGTGTCCCGAGGCGCCTCCGCGCTTCCAGAGGTCTACTTCGGCGCTGCCCTCCTTTGAATTAGTCCTGGGCCAGAGACTTGTCTGCGTGCTCTCCCGTGATGTGTAATCCCCACCTCCCTCGAACTGTGCCGAGGAGGCCCCCAGAGGTCTCCAGAGGGGCGGGGAGGCCGGAGGTTTTCGAAGGGGGGGGGGGCCCACGGGCCTGCGGAGGCTTCCAGAGATTCCTCTGAAAGAGCAGGAGACACTCAAACATCGCACCCCGCCCGCGTGGACGAGAGGCAGCTCAGCTGGCCTGGCTGATCGCCCGCTGCCAATCAGCGGGGGAGAAGATCCGCGACCATTTGCGAGTGCTGCCCCCGCGGGCTCGAAGCCCACGCGGATGACTCGGATCTGCGTTGGGTTCCCTGGCGGCGCCTCTGGCGCCGCCCCTGGCGCGCTCCGCACACCAGGGATCGGGATCCGGTGCCGATCCAAGACATCCCCGCCCGCGGAGCTCCGACGGTGAATGCGCATGCAGGTTTTGCCTCCTCTACCTCCCCCCCCCAGGCTTTTTGTGAGGGTCGGGCCGCCTGAGTCGACAGTACAATGGAGACTGGACTGTGACAACAGAAGCATCAACGACACACATCAGACGGGACAGCAGTACAGGAGCGCGCTTCATAGCCGTGTGCCCACAAGGGGCTGGCGGATGACCTCAGCGCCGTGTGCATTCGTCCAGAACGTTTGCGACAGCTGCACGGATTGAGAGGAAACGCGTTTCAAACCGCGCGCATTTTTAGACAAGTCGCCACAGCTGCACGGAGGGCGGCCTCTTTCCCAAGCAGCCCTCTCGCCCAGCAGTTCGTCGTGCTGCGCGACCGTGCGTCTTCGTGTGTGCAACGGTCCGGTGGGTGGAGGGCGGCTCACTGGCACAGCGGGGCTCGCGTGTGAGACCCCCTCGTGCCAGTGTCGGTGGGCCTGAAGAATTTGTGCAACGGCTGCACAGATCGGAGGGCGGAGGAGCGATACCAGCACCACCAGGGGGCCCACCGCCAGCGAGGAGGTCCACGATGCCTCTCCGAGCTGGAGGCTGGGGATGTCTCGAGCAAGAGGGGGAGTTCCCCTTTGCCTCCGCACATCTCCTCGCCCTGTTGGTGTTGGTGTCGCCTTTCCTTGTTCCTACACAGAGGTGTGGGGGGCGGCATCTCTTCGAGAGCGGGGCGCTCGCTGGACGCGTGCTCAGCGCGTCTGCCCTCTCATCTCTGCCGCGGGCACGCCCACGGCGATGCAGATCGCGGCGATGCAGGCTGCGGTATTGTGTGGGGGGGGTCTTGGCCAACCTAAGCGTAGGGAAGCGGTGTCCTGCTTTCCTGCAACCTGTGATGCGCGAGCTCGGCGTCGCAGAGTCCAGGCTCCCAACATCGCCGTCCACCAACATCGTCGTCAGCGTGGCCTGGCTCTGGGTATTTCTCGGAACGGGGATCTCGCCGGAATGGAAGGCTGGCGGGGCGCTCGCATCTCAAGGGGAAGGGAGGAGTGCTCCCAGGACCTGCGCACCAGCGGGGGGCCCGGGAGGGTGGACTGTAGCATCGCTGAGCTCACACAGCTTCGGCGGCGAGCGAGGGAGGTAAGTGAGAAGGAGAAGGCCTTCTCAGAAGGCGGCGGGACTTCCCAGAAGCCCCCTGACTCTGGCCTCCTGAGAAGTTTTCTGCGTCTCTGGGAAGGCTTAGACAACCTCTCAGAAGGCCGGGGAACTTCCGAGCCTTCTGAGAAGGTCCGCCCCATCTCACTTCCCCCCGGGCGGTGTACAAGACGTCCGGGTCACCACGCTGCGCGTTGCCTCGGCACGCGTTGGCCCACATTTTGGCGCGCCTGGCCTGCGTTTATCAGACTACGTGTTGAGCTCCGTGTCAACACGGTACGTGGCTGCGTGTTGCTTATGAGGGCAGCTACGTCGCTCCTCCGCCTCCTCTCCTCTGGCGCACTCTTTGCGCGCGCGAGAGCGCGAGCGGAGGGGAGAGGAGGAGAAGTATTAGGAGGAATCAGGACGGAGGAGCAGCAGGTGGATGATGAACAGGAGGCACAGGAGGAAGGAGGAATCAGGAAGGAGGAGGAGATAGAAGTGAAGAGGAGCAGGAGGAAGGAGGAATCAGAGAGGAGGTGTAGTTGGAGGAGGACGAGGAGAAGTCGGACTAGCATGAGCAGGTGCGCAGGACGAGTAAGAGAGGGAGGGGGATGGTGAATTACATTATTGGTCGTACTGTTGAGACAAACGGATACATGGAAATGAGGGTGGACGAGAAGGGAGCATGATGGAGGGGAGTACGGGTATCATGCTGGAGAGAGGAGGTGGATGGGGCGAAGAGGCAAGGAGGAGGAGGATGAGGAGGAGGAGGCGGATGATAAAGAGGGTGAGGAGGAGTGGGAGGAGGAGGAGGCCTCTGAGCACCTCTTCGTTCTCCCTCCTCCTCCGCTCCTCCCTTCTTCCTCGCCCCTCCTTGCCACTCATCCTTATCCCCCTTACGCTACGTGAGCTCCTCCTCCTCCTCCTCCTCCTCCTCCTCCTCCTCCGCCAGCTCCTGCTGCTCCTCCTCCTCTTCCTCCTATTTCTCCTCCTCCTCCTATTTCTCCTCCACCCTCCCTCCCAACCCATCCCCCCTCCCAATCCTGCCTTCCTTCCCCCCGGGCCCCTCCCTCTCCTACCTCCCAAACCCTCCTAACCCGTCGCTTCTCCTCCTCCTCCTCCTCCTCTTCTCCTCCTCCTCCTCTCCTCCTCCTCCTCCTCCGCCTCCTCCTCCTCCTCCTCCCACATCCTCTTCCTCCTCCTCCTCCTTCTCCTCCTCCTCCTCCTCCTCCTCCCTCCAACCCCCTCCTTACTTGCCCCTCCTTCCCTGCCTGGCAGCCCCCCGCCCGCCAAGGACCCGCTGGTCCTCGAGTGGTGGGGGGAGGAGCGGGGCGAGCGGCGGCACGGCCCTGTCAAGGCGCAGCAGCTGCAGGCGGAGCTGCCCGTCGTCGTCCGAGGAGGAGGAGGAGGAGGAGGAGGAGGAGGAGGAGGAGGAGGAGGAGGAGGAGGAGGAGGTGGAGGGAGGAGGGGGAGGAGGGGAGGAGGGGGGAGGAGGAGGAGGAGAGGAGGAGGAGGAGGAGGAGGAGGAGGAGGAGGAGGAGGAGGAGGAGGAGGGGAGGAGGAGGAGGAGGAGGAGGAGGAGGAGGAGGAGGAGGAGGAGGAGGAGGAGTTGGAGGAGGGAGAGGAGGAGGGGAGGAGGAGGCGGAGGAGGCGGAGGTGGAGGAGGAGGAGGAGGAGGAGGAGGAGGAGGAGGAGGCGAGGGAGGAGGAGGGGGAGGAGAAGAAGGAGGAGGAGGTGGAAGAGGAGGAGCAGGCGAAGGCGGAGGGGAGGAGGAGGAGGAGCAGGAGGAGGAGGAGGAGGAGGAGGAGGAGGCGGAGGCGGAGGGGTAGTAGTAGTAGTAGTAGTAGTAGTAGGAGGAGGAGGAGGAGGAGGAGGAGGAGGAGGAGGAGGAGGAGGAGAAGGATGAGGAGGAGGAGGAGGAGGAGGAGGAGGAGGAGGAGGAGGAGGAGGCGAAGGAGGAAAGCGCCCCGCCACCGTGCCTGGGTTTTGGGGCTGAGGCCAATCGGATGGTTGATGGGTCTCGTGGGAGGCCCCTCGGGAGCGTCCTGGAAGCAGTTGTTGGACCTCTTGGTGGCCTCGTGGAGGCCTTGTGGGTTTTTTTTGGAGCCCCCTCGGGGTTCTCTGGGGGCTTCTTTGGGCAACCTGGGGGCGTCTTGGGGCCGAAGGCTCGAAATGTCCGTTCGGTTTCCCCTCTGGGCCCAATCTGAACGCCGTTCTGGGGCCCTTCTGGGGCGTCTCGGAGGTTTATTGGGCCGTCTTGGGGCCCTCTTGGGCCGTCTGGGAGCCATCTTGTGGGCTGCCTGGGCCGTTTGGAGTCGATCTTGGAAGCCTCTTGGGCCATCGTGGTCGCAGTGAAAGCCCAAGAGGCGAATGTGCTAAAGTCATAGGTTGTCCCGAGGGAATGGGAACATGTGTGTTTCTTAGGGCCCTCGTGGGGGGGCTGTTGGAGGTCTCTGGGAGCGTTTTGAAGGCATCTTGGGCCGTCTGGATGCCATCGTGGGCATCTCGGCTCGATCTTTCGGCGATTCGGGGCCCTCTTGGACCGTCTTGGGGTCCCCTTGGGGCCCTCTCGGCCCGTTGTGAGGCCCTCCGTTCCCCCGTGACGCGTTCAACAGGGGGTCGTGCTGGGCCCGGGGGGGGGGTCAACATCGAGTTCCTTGGGGGGGAATATGGGGGGGAACAGTCCCACACGCCTAGAGACCCACACGGAAGGGGTCGGCTGACTTTCCCACTTTGCAATTTTGTAGTAAAAACGGGCTGCGGAAGCCGCCGTACCCTAAGATAGGGGAGAGGATGGAGGCGGAATCGGAGGAGGAGGGGGAGGGGGAGGGGGAGGATGGGTGAGGAGACGAGGACACACATGCGGAAGAGTGGAGGAGGAGGAAGCGGAGGAGGACGAAGAGGAGGAGGGCGAGGAGAAATGCCAGAGGCCTTTTGGATGCCGCTCGGAGTCGCTGCGGATGTCCTGCGTGTGTCCAGGAGGCGGAATTGTGGTTATTATCTGAGTCGAGTCAATGATGTGCGCATTCTCGCACGGGCCTGCTTGGACGTTCTAATGCGTCGCGACCCCCCCCCGTTCAGGTCCAGGGGGAGGGGGGCAGGGGGAGAGGTAGACCTCTCCACAAATGGGAAGACAGGGGGCTGGAAGAGGAACCTCGACAGACCAAACACGCCCATATGGCTGAGGGGATTTCAAGGCGAATGTGTGCGGCGCGTAGGCGAAAGCCTCATGTTGAAAACGGCCCGTTGCAGATCCCATATTTTAGAACCATATGCACTGCGAGGAAGTCTCACGCGAACCGCCCGGCCCGCCCTACCGACCCGGCTGGGTGCGCGACAGGGAGGATGCGTACCGCGAGGAGGCAGGAGTGCTGGTGGTTGTGAGGAGGAGGCGGGGGAGGAGTAGGAATCGGAGTAGAAGGAGGAGGAGGAGAAGCAGGAGGAGGACGGCCGCGTTCGAACATAACCCTATAGCCATCAGCGTGAGCGAGAGGAGGAGGAGAAGGAGGAGGCTTAGAGTATCGAGGTGGGAAGGGGTGATGTTGGTGGTGGTGGCGAGGAGGAGGAGGAGGAGAGGATAGTGTGAATCGAATGAGGAGGATGAGGACGGCTGCTTTCTACCTGAACCCTACAGCCATCAACATGAGCGTGAGACGGAGGAGGAGTACAGCGAAGAGGGAGGGATGATGGTGACGGTGACGAGGAGGAGGTGGACGAGGAGGAGTTGGAGGATGAGGAGGAGGAGGAGGAGGAGGAGGAGGAGGAGGAGGATGATGGCTGCGTTTGAATCGCACCCTATAGCCGTGAGCGTAAGCGTGAGGAGGAGGAAGAGGAACATCATGATGAGGAGGAGGAGGGCGAGGAAGAGGATGAGGAGGATGTTGATGATGATGCTGATGAGGATGAGGATGGTGATGAGGGTGATGTTTATGTTGATGGTGACGGTGATGGTGATGGTGATGATGCTGTTGATGATGCTGATGATGCTGATGATGATGATGATGATGATGACGATGCTGATGACGGTGACGGTGACGGTGATGGTGGTGGTGGTTGTGATGATGGTGATGATGATGCCGATTACGATGATCAGGATGAGGATTAGATGAGGATAGGGATGAGGATGATGATGCTGCTGATGATGATGCTGATGACACTGATAATGATGATGACTGTGGTGTTGGTGGTGGCAGTTGGTGTGGTGGTTGTAGTAGTGGTGGTGATGATTATGGGGAGCATGATGATGATGATGATGATGATGATGATGATGATGATGATGATGATGATGATGATGATGATGATGATGATCGATGATGATGATGATGATTATGATGATGATGATGATGATGAGGAGGAGGAGGAGGAGGAGGAGGAGGAGGAGGAGGAGGAGGAGGAGGAGGAGGAGGGGGAGGAGGAGGAGGAGGAGGCGGAGGGTAGAGAAGAGAGGGATGGAGAGGGTGGCGTAGAGGGGAGGACGTGGGACTGGCTTCCGGCACGAGTGCCACGGCCGGAGAGCTCTGCAGAGTGCCCCTGGCGACTCCGGGCTGCGGGCCTCGGCAAGCGGGAGCCGCCGCGCCCAGGGGCCAGCGGCGGTGGCCGCCCCCCTCGCGCCAAGCGGGGAGCGCAGAGGACCGTGCCGATGGCCGCAGGGCGGCACGCTGCTGAGGCCGCGCCTGCGGCGTCCTGCACCGCCGCTGTGGGTGCACGTGGCCCTGCGCTCTCGCAGTGCGTTCCGTGTCGTGTCGTGTCGTGTCGTGTCGTGTCGTGCTGTGTGTGTGTGTGTGTGCGTGTGTGTGCGTCGTGGCTGTGAGCTCGCTCCGAGGCACATCCTGGAGGTCTGGAAGGTCTGAGGGTTCTGTGCGGCCGTCCCCGCGGCTTTCCCTCGCCCCCCGCGCCCGCCTGCGCCCCGGTGCCTCCATGTTCGCCACGGATGCGCCCCGCCGCTTGCGGGGCCGCTTGCTGGACCCAGCCCGCCGCAGAGAGCCAAGAAGTGCTGATGACCGCGCCTGCTCTGGGAAGCAGGGCGCCCCATGCAGAGCGAGGGCCCAACAGGTGCAGCTCCGTTGGGGGAGGCCGCCGTGGTGCCGTCGAGCCGAGGCAAGGACTCGAGGCCGTGGCGGTGGTCTGCAGGCGCGCTTGTTGAGAGGATCGCCCCGGCTGCGGGGCATGGGGCTCGCTTCGGTAGCAAATCGTGGGAGCCTGGTGTACCCTCTTACGTCCGTCTCTAGCGTCGACCAGCGTCGATTAGCGTCGATTAGCGTCTGAGAGTCGATGAGATAGTTCCTGTGCGCGTTGGCTAGCGTCGAGTAGCCTCATCTAGCATCGATGTAGCGTCGATTAGCGTCGACTAGCGTCGATTAGCGTCGATTCGCAAGATAGGGGAGGCTCTTATGAGTTGCCACCGAAGGCTCGCGATGGGGGTGGTGAAAGAACGCACGCTCAAACCTGTAGGGAGGAATGCATGGGGAAGGGCAAGGCCACGAAGGCGCCGTGGGTACGGGTGCGAGTTGTCCGACCCCGAGGGGCGCTCCCGTGCAGGCGGGAACCCCCATCCGACAACATACACCCACAGCCCCCCCCCCCCCGCCGGCATTCCGTCCCGAGGCCTTGGCGGGTCGCATGAGGGGAGGTGGAGGCGGTGCCCTGCGAGGCCCCAGCGGGCCTCCCACCACTCGTGGGCGTGTGGGTGCTTCTCGCAGGGTGGACGGGCGATGGGGCCTCCTCCCTCGGGAGGGCGTGGCGCCCGCACCTCGCCCAGGGTCTGCGCACGCCGTGCCTCGTCTCCAGGGGCGTTTTCGCGAAGGGGGCCCGGAGATCCTCGGGACGTGTGCTACGGTGGGGGCCCATGCCAAGAAGCACCCTGCTTGCCTCCAAGGTGCCCTGGGTTTCTTGGGTGTTGATGGTTTTGCCACGGATAGTGTGACGTTCCCACATAAAAATTCACTTGGCGTCCTGGGGTTCCAGGGTTGGGTTTCTTGTGGAAGGTTTCTTGTGGACTGGCCTCCACTGTAGCCCAATGTGTGCTTACCCCGTTCAGCCTGCGTCGGTCACCTGCGTCGTAGTGGAGGGTCTCGATGGGCCAGCACACGTGGGCGCTACCACACGCTCTGAGGCTCACCGGAGGGTGTTCTGCCAAACGGCGGGGTCTGGCCACCCCCGATCTTCGCCTGTTCTGGCCCACCACGCTTCGGCGCGACGCGCCAACCAAAGCCTCGGTCCCGAAGCCTCAGACGTCCCGAGCGTTCCACAGCCTCCCGCCCCGCGGAGCGGAGCGGCACGCTATCCGCCTGCACTGCATGGCGTGTCGCTCGGGCCGCCGCCGCGACGCGCGAAGCAAGCGTTCCCGACCACAGAGCTGCCCCGCGCGGGCCAGGCCATGCTGGACGTCGTCATCGAGCGGCTGCACCCCAGCGAGAGTAGCAGGCCTCCTCCGGCAAGGGGCGGTTCGGTAGCAAATCATGGGAGCCCTGCATAAATCCTCGCAATTTCGTCTTTCGAGTGCATTCGCGTCGGTTAGCGTTTAGTGATCGATGGGATAGCGCCGATTCAGCGTCGATGAGTGTCGATCAGCGTCGATTTGGCGTCGTTCAGCGTTGAGTAGCGCCGATTCGCAAGAATCAACAGGCTGGCATGGGAGGCTCCCGTGAGTTGCCGCATAAAGGAGGGGCATACGGTGGGGGCGTTGGTTGAGGAATGTGCCCAGGAGGCTTCAGACCCTGGGGGATTCCTTACCTGATGACGGCGGCGATGCTATCCATGGCCGATCCACGGTTGGAGTTTTACTGGCTTCTCCTTGCCCAATTAGTTCCTTCTCCAACGCCCGCACCGTTTGAGCTCAGCGCGGCCCCACGGCAGGGCGGCTTGCGGCCGGGCCGTCGCCTGCGGCCTCCAGGTCTGCCGCAGCAGGCGCTCGAAGGAGGACGAGGAAGAGGAGGTACCGATGCGGTGAGGGCGCTAGAATAAGGACCACTCTGGGCTCAGTTCGATTCCTCCGATTCGGTTCGATGTCGATGGATTCCGATTCCGATTCGATCCGACCTCGGATTCCGAATCGGGCTCCGATTTCTCCATGGAGGCCTGTGAGCCTGCCGATCTCCGCCGATTCGACTTCTCGCGACTTTGCTGCCGGTGTCCGCCGATCCGATGCACTTCGCTCGCCGGACGTCGGTTCGATTCTGGGCTCCCCTGGCCTGCTCTGGGCTCAGGAGGGGCTCGGGCCTGGGCCGTTCCGCAGAGCTGGGCCGGGTAGCCTCTTCGTGGCCGAGGCTCGCCGTGGCCAGAAACGCCACCACGGCTCGCCGTGGCCAGAAAAGCCACCACGGTCCTCATTGGGCGCCCCTCGTGGCAGCACGATGGCTGTGCCGTTACTGGACCTTTTTTTATATCCCCTGGCGATTGCGAGCGCGACCAGGGGGGAGGGGTGGAGAGGGGGGGGAGAGGCAGTCACGCTGCGACTCGCGCCTGTGCCGTCTGGGAGTGCTCACGCGCCGGAGCCGTCTGGGAATGCTTGGGGATGGCCAGTTGCCAGGCTGGCGCTGGCGCGAGGCGCGACCTGACCGGGCGGGGGGGGGTAGGAGGGGCGGCGGGGCCAGTCACGGGCGTTATCGCGAATCATAATAATAATAATAATAATAATAATAATAATAATAATAATAATAATAATAATAATAATAATGATAATAATAATAGTAATAGTAATAGTAATGGGCTATATTGCTGAAGCATGCGCTCGGAGGAGGACAAGGTATCGGCGGCGAGCGAGGGGGGGAAGTGAGAAGGAGAAGGTCTTCTTAGAAGGCGGCGGGACTTCTCAGAAGCCCTCGCGCCCTCTGAGAACTTTTCTGTGTCTTCGGGGAAGCCTTAGACAACTTCTCAGAAGGCCAGGGGGACTTCTCGCTTGCCCCCCCCCCCTCGCTCGCCGCCGACCCGACGCGGCCCGCTCCTCGCGGTCTCCCTCGATGCTCCTGCGCCTCGCGCCTCGCTGCCGTCGGTCTGCCCCCTGCTCCTTGCTCCGTTCCTGGTTCCTCGTTCTTCCTCCGCCCTGCTCTCCCGATCCGACCGTGGTCCCCTCCGCCTCCTCCTCCTCTGCAGCCCCCCCCCCCGCCCTTGGCGTGCCCCCGCCCCACACGCACCGTGGTGCGCGGTGGAGGGGGGGGGGCCAGGGCACCCATGAAGCCTTCTGGGTAATCTGGGCGGTGCCCGCGGGAGGGAGGTAGGCCCCTGCGCCTTCCTCCCGGCCCCCTCGAGAGGGGCCCCATCTTCTTCCCCCCCCGCCCCGAATGTGTTGCATGACTCCTCCAGCGGCGTGCAATCCTCCCTTCGCATCCTTCTTGGCGGCTGCCTCATGCCTGTCCTTGTCGTTGTGATCGTCGCCCGACTTCTCGTCGTCATCGTGCGTTTCTCCACCGCTCTTGTTTCGCGCATGGTGTATGAAAGGCACTCGGCGTCAGCGATCGCCAGGAATTTGTTCCCAAGGGTCACACCCAGGCGGGAGGGAGGATGGGTGGGAGAACGAAGGGGGTGGATGAGAAGGAGGATGGGGGAGGACGAGGAAGGCGCATGAAGACTGTTAAGGGCTTCTGGGCGGAGAAGGATGAGGAAGGACGAGGAATGACGAGGGAGGACGAGGACGGACGAGGAGGGGAAGGAGGATGGGGGAGGACGAGGAAGGACGAGGAAGGCTGCGAAGGTTTTCTTGGCGGTCCTGAGGGCCCCTCCCTCCTTCTCCTGCTCCTGCTCGTCGGGAGGAGCAGAGCGGGTCGGGGCACAGAACGCGTCCGAAAAAAACGCTTCCTCCCGCGGCGCCGCGATGCTTGCAGTACGCGAGGTGGTTTGGGATGCTGACTTCAGTCAACCCGCATAGTAAGGATGGGCAACCTTCCCAAGGGGACCCTTGCATCCTTGCCTCTTCGGTCCATCCTTGGCCACTTTCGTTGGCCGCGCCCAGCTCGAAAAGCTTCGAAGTGGGCGTCTAAGGCCCTTGCACCCATATCGCGCATCCTGATGATACAGGTCGACTGTAGGGGGGACGTCGTTGCCAGGGCCATGATAGCTCCCCAGATGTCGTCCGGGTGGGCCATCGGCGTCAGGATGGATTCACACCAGGATTGATTGCCCGTCGAGTCCGCGAAGCGCACATACGTATCAGGTTCGTAGATATGAGGATATATTGCGTTCTGTTTGTTTGTTTGCAGATTCGACGAAGAAGCGTTCCGTGGTGAATCATTTCTGTGGCCGATCTCCGGATCGAGTCGTGGCCCCTCTTCCCGCTTCCTTGGGCCCCCTGGCCCCCCGTTCCAGGGCCGTGCACCTGCCTCGGGCCATGATCTGCCCGCCCGCCCCCCCCCCCCGTCTTGGACGGCCCCCCCCCTTGAAGGACACGCCCCCCGACCTCCGCGCCCCGCGGAGCCCGCTCTCGCTTGCGCCCGGGTGCGCTTTTTTGCGGTGGGCTGGCCGGTGGTCGCGGTGGGCTCCTCGCAGGGGCGCGGGGGAGCGTATGGAGGCGACGATCGTCGGGGGAGGAGCAGATACTGATACTGCTATCCTGGCCTCGTTCTCGCCGTTTCGGGCCTCCTGGGAGGCCCTCGCCGCCACGGCTGCACCCGCCTCGGGATCCTGGTCAGAACGCGCCCCGGGAGAGGTCAGGGGAGTAGCGGTATCGGTACCTTTTGGCTGCCCCAGGTAGGAGCGAATAGCCCAGGGGCAGGCATTACACACATTCGCCCGGGAGCCTCGCTGGAGGCATCGGCTATCGGCGCCCTCGGATGCCCTTATTCGCCCCCATCGCCGCCCCCGAAAAGGAGAGGGGGGGCAGGGGGAGGGAAGGAGGATTTTTTTCTATGCTCTGTGATCCTTGTAGTATGCGCGCGAGCACCAGTTTGTGGGGGGGTCCAGGCTTCCCCCCCGCTCCGTACGATCGTCAGCGTTACCCAGGGGGCTGGAGTTGGCCAGGGTAACGACCGTTACTAAGAAAATCTAGAGAACTACAGAAACATCGCCAGGAAGTCGTTGGTAGCCCGTTAGCGTGTCGCTCCTTCGTCTTTGCCCGAATGTCGGGTGCCTCCTCAACAGTAACACGTTGATGGATTCGTCATGGCGTCGTATCATGTTTGCTGCTGTTGCTCCCCGAGTCTTGCACACTTTTGCTCGTCAGCCTCGGATTTGTATGTATGTGTAGATGTGTATATATATATACATGTACACATACACATACACATATACTCGGACTCATATGCATCGAGAGAGAATGAGAGAGAGGGAGGGAAAAGTCCACGGCCGACTTGTGTGCACCGTACCGCGTTGGCGCCTTCCGAGGCGTCGTCGACCCTCGGCCCAGGCATGGTGAGGAAGAGGAGCAAGTCATCGGGGCCGAGACGCTGAGCACCGCACAGCGTTGGAGCGGGGAGAGGGGGTCCAGGCATCGTACGGTGCATGGGCGTCGTTCTGGCAGGAAGGGCGAGGAGGGGGGCCCTCCCTGAGATCCGACGTGGCGAACGATAATGCGACACTGCAAAGCAAAACTCGCCCGGAGCCCTGGGCCCAATCTTCCTGCGTTGAGTTTCGAGCCCGATCGATCTGCGAGAGTCCCCGGGCCCCAACAAGAAACGAAAACGCCCAGCTCGAAAAAATAGCAGCGCCGGGATCTCAGGGCTGGTTCCTGCCTCTCCTTCTCGCCCTCCTCCCCCGTTGTCGCTTCCGCCAGCAGGCCTGCCGTCAAGGCCGCGGTCTCTCAGCCGTCGATCGCCAGCAACAGCGCGGACGGCCGGCGCGGCGAGGGGCGGGATCGGAGTTCGTCTCGGAGGAGGAGGAGGGGAAGCAGGAGCACGAGGAGGAGGAGGGGGAGGAGGAGGAGGAGGAGGATGAGGAGGAGCACGGGGAAGAGGAGGAGCAGGCGGCGGAGGAGGTTTTGTTGTTGGTGTTTGATAATAAATAGGCTCTGCAGTTTAATTCAAACACTGCCTAGACATTCCGGAGGGGAGTAGGCGTACAGGGCGCTCGACAGGTGTTGGCGGCCGTCCGGCATCAGGTTGGGCGCCCCAAGGCATCGAGGTGATGATCAAAGGATTCCGCGGCTGCGCTTTAGGAGGAGGAGGCTTCGGATTGGCTGGGACGGGTCATTTCTTCTTGTCGTTGCCAATGTCTCTCTCTCACTCTCGCACTCTTTTTTCTTCTCCCTCTCTCTCTCTCTCTCCCTCTCTCTGATCGGTTTTGAGCTGTGCTTCGGTTCGCCTCTGTTGCTCGGCCAGACCTCTTCCTGTGCATTGCGCATGGCGACAAGGAGGAACAGAAGGAGGAAGAGGAGGAGGAGAAGGACGAGGAGGAGGGGAGGGTGGGGAGGAGGAGGACGAGAAGGAGAAGGAGGACGAGGGGCATGCTGATGATGAGGATGATGAGTATGCTGCATATGATGATGATGATGATGATGATGATCATGATGATGATGATGACGATGATGATGATGATGATGATGATGATGATGATGATGATGATGATGATGATGATGATGATGATGATGATGATGATGATGATGATGATGATGATGATGATGATGATGATGATGATGATGATGATGATGATGATGATGATGATGATGATGATGATGATGATGATGATGATGATGATGATGCTGATGGGGAGGAGGAGGACGAGGAGGAGGGAGGAGGAGGACGAGGAGGAGGAGGAGGAGGAGGGGAGTGGGAGGAGGAGGAGGAGGAGGAGGAGGAGGAGGAGGAGGAGGAGGAGGAGGAGGAGGTAGTGAGGGTCGTCTTCGCCGTTTCGTCAACCCTGCTCCCTTTCAGGGGTCATGGGGGGCCCAGCTACCGCGCCCGCAGGGGGATCCTTCTTGTATGATGCAGTCCACGCGCATAGCAAGGACGCGCGCCTTGTCTAGGGTGCCCTTGTGTCCTTTGCCTCTGCGGCCCGTCCTTTGCCGTTTCCCCCGGCCAGCCTCTCGGGCCGCCGCCCAAGAAATCCCAACCTCGGCCTCCAAGGGTCTCGCGTCCTTGCCACCCGTCCTTACTGTACGTTTTCACTGTATGCGCGAACCCGTACAATCACAGCTACCCTGTTGGATCATCCCCGCCAGCGGCGATCGCCGCTGGGGGGGTGGTGGATGGCAGTGCCCGTCGCCGAAACCCGACGCCGCCAGTATGTGCCAGTGCCAGAAAGGGAGGGAGGAGGAGGAGGGGAAATATGATGACGACGATAAGGCACAATCCGAAGAGGAGGAGGAGGAGGAGGAGGAGGAGGAGGAGGAGGAGGAGGAGGAGAAGGAGGAGGAGGAGGAGGAGGAGGAGGGGCATGAGGAACGAGGGAGGGAGGGAGGGAGGGAGGGGAGGGACGGGGTGGGGTGGGAGATAGGGGCGGAGGAAGGGAAGGGATCGAGGGACGGGGCTCAAGAGACGGGGGTCAACGCAAGCGGGGGTCAGCCAGGGCACCGGATCCTGAAGGATCCTGCGAAGACCCCCTCTGGCTGACCCAGTTTAGCGAGCCGCTGGTGGCCGCGAGGCGGCCGCGCATATTGGATGACCCGGGTTGCGAAGACCTGCGTTGCAGTTTTTTTTTCCTGCTTGCAGTTTTTCGGTTTCCTGCTGACCCTGGTCTGGACTGACCCGGGCCATAAAGATCCCCCGAGAGGGAGGCAGGGGAACGAGCAATAGAAAGAAAAGAGAAGAGAAAGAGAGAGAGAGAGAGAGAGACAGAGAGACAGAGGGGGGGAGGAGGGGGAGGAGGAGGACGACGAACAAGAGGAAGGGGGGGGGAGCCGATCGGGCGGCCCCTGAGGCCTCTTCCTCCGCCTCCTCCTCCCTCTTCCTCCTCCTTCTCCTCGTCCTCCTGCTCCTCCTGCTCCTCCTGCTCCTGCCGCTGCTGCTCCTCCTCCTCCTCCTCCTCCTCCTTCTCCTCCTGATCCCATCATCAAGGGCCTCAAGATGGAACTTACTGCTTTGGGTAGAGGCCTGCTCAGCGCATGCGCCGACGACCTGGGTATAGTTCTTGCTGCACTTCGGGATCTTGGCGCTCTACTACCACACCTGCAAGCTGCACAACATCACGCTGGACTCCGCCCCCAACCGGAGAAATGCGTCCTCGTGCCCACCTGGTCCATGCCAACGCCCGAGATCACCGCGAGCATGCGTGCCATCCTGACCCAGCTCTACGAGCCGTGGCAAGACTTCTCCATCAATAGCTTTGCGCGCTACCTCGGCGTGTACATCGGCCCTGGTGCCTTTCTCGGCCGTCAATGGCAAGGTCCTGCCAACAAGTGGTAGGAGCGCATCCAGATCCTGTGCGACTCCTACGCTCCCATCCAGCAGTGCATCAAGATGTACAACTCCGCTGCCATCACATGCCTCTCGTACGTTGACCAGCTCTACCCGCCTTCCCCAGCATTCCTGTCCAAGGAGATTCACGGGCTCCACAAGCTGATCCGTGCTGCACCTTCAAGCTTCACGAAGATGGACATACTGTCGTTCACGCTATGGGCGTCCGCCGCGATCCCGCAGGGTATTGAAACGCTTCTCGCAGCAACGATGTGGCGCGCCTCCACGACCACCATCTCTGGCTGGCAGCCTCTGCTTCACACACTCCGTGCCCATGCTGAAGAACTTCTCCCGCTACGAAATGTAGTTGTTGGCAAATGGTCTGCTCCATGCTGGATTGACGCCACTTCCATCGTGCAGCGATTCGACGACATACTTCACAACAAGCTGATCGCGACGGGCAAAGGATCCATCTTCAAGATTCTCACGCGATCCACAGGATCTACGGTGAATGCCGCCCAGATACTTCAACGAGCACATGCGCAAGCTGCTGCTGCTGGTCGACACGCTATCATGGCATCCCGTCGTAACAAGGCGGAGGATCTGTACACACACAGTCGTGACAGGACTGGAGCCCACCAGGCACCACGCCGTGACAGGGCTGGTGACCTTCACACGCCCAGTCGTGACAGGACTGGCGGATCTCATCAGGGACAAGCTGGATTCATAGCTTCGAATGATGCTACTTCGAGTGCCACTTCACGCACCTCTCCGTAACAAGCAGACCTACGGGAACTACAACGCCAGCTGTACCGCGACTTCTTCCACAAGACTATATATCATCGTCTCCGCGCCTGGTTCCCACTACTTCCTGTTGACAGTGGACCTCAGATGGCACCTGCTACGACCGAGCTGCCGACTGGGAACGACAACCATGACTCCATGAAGTACCTGAATGAACGCGCAGAAGCACGGGCAGCAAGATGGACCCCCAGCGTGTTCTTCGGCCGCGACATGGACAACTTCAACGACTGGATGGACTGGTGCGTCCCGTACATCACAGCTGTTCTTCACCGCACCCAGTTCAATGCGCACTTCTGCCTCGATGACCAGTGCGGGTCAGCCAATGCTCGCCGTGACATGGCGAAGGAGATATGTTACGGTGCATGGCAACGAGCTGAACGATCTCGCAACCACCGCCTACAGATCTACACCACCGAGCACATGCCGACAAACACTCATCGAGAATTTGCTGATGAAGCTGTTGAACACCGCGCCCGTCGTCGCTGGATCGAACGGGAACGTGCCACCAACCCGAACCTCCCGCAGGAAGACGCCGGCTCTCAGTCCACCACTACGGCCACCTCCACACCTCACATCTACTCCGCCAATGACATCATGATGGACTCCGATACATCCGACCGTGACGGACTTCTTGGCCGAGCTGCTCTCCCTGCGAGTGTTGAGCACGGCTGGCGCGACCTGCGGCCCCACTTGGCAAACTCCACGGCCTCGCTCTTCTGGCCCGCGGTCAAGACCTTGTCTGGAGCGTGGGCGACATCGCACCGCATGCACGTCAATCCCCACAAGAAGAACTGCCTGTTCGGCTGCGACAAAGACTCGCAGATCAAGAACACGGGCGACATCAGCCACTACATTACATGCCCGCGAATGTGGGCGCTACTGGCTCAGCCTCGGGGACAACCTGCTGGTGATGTCCTCGCGCGGCTCGGACTCCACGAAAGCAACAACATCGACGACCACCCGAGGCACACCATCACACGCATGGCCGCGGCCTTCCGCACGTACAACATCATGCGGGCGCGCACCGAGATGGGCACGCCCGCCATCCACGACGAGCTCAAGATCCACAAGGAGGTGGTCGCAGCCGTTCGCCGCGCCCTGAGGTTGCCACGGTGCCTCGTGGGCGGCGCGGGCCCGCTGCGCCTCTAACCCGCGGACACGCGCCCCCTTCAGCGCGTCGTTCGCTCCTTCTCCTCCTGATCCTCGCCGTGCTACACCTTCTCGTCGTCCTCCTTCTCCTTCTCATCCTCCCCCGTGCTACACCACATTTCTCGTCCTGCCCCGTGCTGCGCCTTCTCGGCTCCCTCCCTCCCCACTCGTTCCTCGCCCCTCCCCTGTCCCCCTCTCCCAGAGAGGAGGAGGAGAAGGAGGAGGAGGAGGAGGAGGAGGGGGCGATGGGGGGAACGAACGTGGGCGAGGAGGAGGAGGCGGAGGAGGAGGAGGAGGAGGAAGAGGTGGAGGAGGAGCAGCAGGATGAGGAGGAGGAGGAGGAGGAGGAGGAGGAGGAGGAGGAGGAGGACGAGGACGAGGAGGAGGAGGCCCCCCCGTCCTCTCCTGCCAAGGGGGGGCCGCCTGGTGGGGAGCGTCCCCGAGCGGGGCGACGGATCCGCGCTTGCCCCCCCCCCCCCCCCCCCCCGCCTCCATTGCCCCCCCCCCCCCGCCCGCCCCCCGCGGAGAGGACGACAAGAGCTCATTGTCGCAGCCGCTGGACAAGGTGGCGGACTGGAAGGCAGTCTGGGAGGCCCGCTGGCCGCCTTATTTGTGAGTCAGAGGTGCCAGGAGGTATATTGATGAGGTAGGTATCCCCAGGCCTCCCAAGATGGGGTCCGAGCAGGTGGGATCGGACGATCGCGCCGCATCGCCGACGCATCGGCGATGCGTTTCGATGGGGGGCCCGAATTTCTACCGCCGACGCCGCCAATTCATCGCCGATGCAGGGTCGGCCGCACGGGTTGGCCGGGAGACTTTGCCGGGGGTGGCCCGGGGTGGGGGGGGGTGGCGGGCGGTTGGCCGGGAGGCTTTGCCGGGGGTGGCCCGGGGCGGGGGGGGTGGCGGGCAGGGCGGTTCTTCGATGGTAGTTCTTACCATCAGCGCGCAGAGTAGAGCAGTGCGAAGTACATGTTCAACAGTACTGAGCACACGAAAGCTGGCAGTGTGCGCCAGAACGCTGAGGAAGACAACGCCTTTGGCCTGTTGGTACTTGGCCTCTCCTGGTCCCTTTCTCCAGCCCCTTCTTGGAGTAGCGTTGCAGGGATCTCCTCCGCCTCCCTCCTCTCATCAGGCATCAGGGTGGCTGCGTCCTCCCCCTCCCAGACTTCGATTTTGGGTGGAATCTGGTAAGACCTCCGAGCACAGTGCCGAGACACTGGTTGGGGACAGCGAGCACTTCCCATGATCTGGGGTGTCCGACCCCTTCGGATCGGATGCCGTTTGGGGGATCTAACGCTACCGCCCAATACCTCAACGCTTTAACTGCAGGTCTCCTGCGCTACACTTTCCTGGGCCGCAGGGAGAGAGAAACCGAGGACCACTACCACGATTGATCGTGACAGCGTTGTTGCCGATCTCGGTGGCCGTTCACCTTGGTCACCGTCAGTTCGGTTCATGGATCTTCCTCGCGAATTGGCGACGGCCTGCGTGCATCATGACCACGATCGGTGCCTAAAAAGTCTCGCGACACCTTGGTCATGGTCAGCGTGTCACTTCCCTCCATCAGCGTGTGCCGCCATCGCCGCCGCTGCGTTTCAGACGCTGGTCTGGCAGCGACATGCTTCACACCCCTAGCGCTACAGGATGTTTGAGAATTGGCCTCAGGCTTTCAAGTGTTGTGCTTTCTGTATAGTCACGTCCACGGTATGGGTATACAGACTTCGCTTCGACTCCGAGCCTGGTATAGCTTCTTTAAACTTGCCTTGAGTCTGGGAGACCCGCATAATGATCTGGCGGGCAAGCGGGCGACGTCTGTTGGACCAGTTGGTTTGCGTGTCAGGATGGATGTTCTTTGCTTCTGTAATCCCAGCACGGCCAGTATGCACATAGCCCAGGTGATGTTCTCTGTGTTAGCCATCGCGGAGTTCGACCGTGATTAAGAATACATGCCTCGGACAAATAATAGCGAACACGCATGCCACACTCATCGGTCAACGCCTTGCCCTCCCCAAAATGTTCAAAGCTGTCGGTGGGTCTGATGAGTTCCACTTCGACCGCAGTCTCCCCCGCGCGTGCCAACTTTGAGTTTTGGGGAGCGGGGGAGTGTCCACTAATTGTTTCCCCCTGCCACATTGTGCTATTCGGACAAGTCCTCCCTTGTTATCTGCATGCCATTGGTTCGTACCTTGACGGGCGATGATGTACAGATCGGCCGACGTTCAGGAATTGATCTCGGTCTCCAAGCACCCCGTCGCGAAGATGGTCCCCGAGCTGCGGAGCTACGACTTAGAGGAGGTCGAAGGGGAAATGATAATCTGGCGTCAGTCAAAGCATGGCGACGCAAGGTTTCGCCGAGAGACTAGAGCTGCAGCGAGGAAGAGGACCAGATACCAGGCGAAAACAGGGCATTGCGCACTGGTTTTGGAGGGGGCCGAAACCTCAAGAAGATTTCTGATCCAGCTGTTGCGCACGCATCCCATGGCTGCGAACGAATTGCGGCAGCGAGCGAGGGGGGAAGTGAGAAGGAGAAGGCCCTCGCACAAGGCATCGGGGCTTCAGAAGCTCCCTGGCTTTGTGAGAAGACTCGTATGTCTTCGAGGAAGGCTTGGAGAACCTCTCAGAAGGCCAGAGGACTTCCGAGCCGTCTGAGAAGGCCCGAGGTCGATTGTGACATTGGGTGTGATCTATCCTGGCTCTCCACGACACGATTGTGACCAATGTCGTAATCAATGGAATGTGACGTGTGACGGACGAACAGCACGCACCTATACCCACAAGGGGGGACGGAGGGGGCTATGGGTGCGTGTTGTTGGATGGGGGTCCCGTTCGAACGGGAGCCTCCCCCAGGGTCCGACAAGCCGCACCCATACCCATAGCTAGTCCCCCTTCCGCCGACCCGCCTATGGGTATGGGTGTGTATTGTTCGTTCGTCAACATGGGCGCTCACTTCGCCCTCGGGCTCTCCGTTAGGAGTCAAAGGACAAACAATTTACCTCGTTGTGGCAGGTCGGGGAGGGTGAGAACGAAGCGGCCCCCACCGAACGCAACACAGTCTGCATCGGTGTCGGTTCGTGGCGTGGGGGCGGTGCCTGGGTTTGTCCCGATGGTTGTCCCGATGGTTATCCCGTGGTGGGGCAAAGCGAAACATTCAAACCCAATGGCAATGAACATGCAAGTCGACATGTGATTCGGCATACTGAAGCGTTTTGATCTTGAGCGGCAGATCGGAGCCACAGTTCATTGCGGCGTGCGATTCGAGATGCGACGCCATTGACAGTTTTAGCTGCACATTGTAATGCATCGACCGTGCGGACTAAACTGCACATCGCATTGCAAATCGGCATGCCTATCTAATCGCAGTCGAGACGCTAATCGAAAAGTCCTTCCAACGGCAGTCGAAAGGGACATCCGAACTTAAGTCGCCAAAGCAAGTACATTGCACCCCACAGATGTGGATAAGAGTGAGGGGCGGTGGTGACGTCGGCAGTCTGCGAGACTCGGGAGAAGCCCGCCGCAGGCGCCAACGTTTCACAAACAATGTACAACGAGCCCGCCGCAGGCGCCGATTTTTTGATAAACCAATGTGGGTCGGTCGCGGGTGGGTCGCGGGTGGGTCGCGGATGGGTCGCGGGGTGGGTCGCGGGTGGGTCACGGGGTGGGTCGCGGGGTGGGTCGCGGGTGGGTTGCGGGGTGGGTCGCGGGTGGGTCGCGGGGTGGGTCGCAGGTGGGACGCGGGTGGGTCGCGGATGGGTCGCGGGGTGGGTCGCGTGTGGGTCGCGGGTGGGTCGCGGGTGGTTCGCGGGGTGGGTCGCGTGTGGGTCGCGGGGTGGGTCACGGGTGGGTCGCAGGTTGGGTCGCGGGTGGGTCGCGGGGTGGGTCGCGGGTGGTACGACGACAACAACAATACCAACAACAACACCAATACCACTAATACCATCAGCAACAGCAGCAACAACAACATCAACAACAACACTCATTTTACCCTCATGCGCGATGTTTCCACACGAAGCATGCGCCCATCATGATAACCACCCCCAATCATGAAGGATTATTGCTCTATAGCGGGGTCCTTTATTCCCATTCCCAGATCTCCCGCATAATGAGGTCTTGCAAACACCTCCGATTAATTTCAACACATCCCGTCTCGAAAACGCATGCCCGCGCTTTGCTGCGCCGATGCGAGACCGCCAGTGGAGCCCCAGCCAAGGATAAAGCACAAGGAAGTATCGAGCGACATGATTGCCTTGGTGGGGATGGGGGCTGTCGGCGGCGAGGCAAGGACCTGGCCCTGAATAGAAAGGGAGGGAGTATCAAGCGGGAACCATGGTTTTGCCGGGACTGGGGCTGCCGGCGGCGAGGAACAGCACCGTCCTGAGGAAAAGGGAGGAAGCCACGAGCGGGAGCGTTGTTTTTGCTGGGAGCGGCGACAACTAGGGCGCCAGGCCAGCGTAAAACGGGAGGAAGTCTCGGGCGGAGGCGCTGGTTTAGTCGGGACGGCTGTTTTCGGCGGCGAGGAGGAGCACCGCCTTGAGTAAAAAAGGGAGGAAGTCTTGAGCGGGAGCGTTGTTGTTGCTGGGGGCGTTGCCGATCAGAGAAACAGTAGCGCGCCAGTCCAAGGTAAAACGGGAGGAAGTCTTGAGCGGTAGCGCTGGTTTTGTTGGGACGGCGGCTTTCGGCGGCGAGCAAGAGCACTGGCCCTGAGTAAAAAAGGAAGTCTGGAGTGGGAGTGTTGTTGTTGTTGCTGCTGCTGCTGCTGCTGCTGCTGCTGTTGTTGTTGTTGTTGTTGTTGTTGTTGTTGTTGTTGTTGTTGTTGTTGTTGTTGTTGTTGTTGTCGTCGTTGTTGTTGTTGTTGTTGTTGTTGGGGGGCCAGTTGTGGCGGTCCCCCAAGCCGCTTGAGAGTGAGCTACATTTTCAATGAAAATGCAGCTGGCGCCGAGGCGAGAGCGCCAGGGCGCCTGGGGGGGGTCCAACAATATGAATGGCTTAGCAATTTACATTCAACAGCAACAACAACAACGCAGCAAGCAGAACCCTCACCACGGATCCCCACTTCAGCCACGCACCCCGGGACAATGAATGACCGTTCTGCCCCCTCATTCTGATAGGTACAATCGTCATTCAAAGCGACGCACAAATCCAGTGTCAATCGAAATTAGCAAGGAATGCGCGTCGATCTGACAATCACTTTGTAAAGCGAAACTGAATTCGAAATACACATACAGTTGTGATTAACAAATAAGTTCAATCGCAGTTGAAATGTACATCGGCATTCAACCGCCATGCGAATCAATGTGCAAGTGTAGATGGACAGCGACATGCCTGTGTGGTGGTCTAATGAGTCTATTAGGTGTTGGTGCCGCCTCTCTACTTGTTCATTGTTTGTCTATGTTTATCCCTTTCAACCTTTCTTCTTGTCAGTCCGCCATGTCCTCTTCAAGTTCCTCTGTTTACCATGTAGAATATCACCGCATGCATATACGCACGGGTACAGAAACATCGAACCTGTTGATACATGCCGCGCGTGGGATGGGAAGCGCCCTGGCTTGGGAGTAATCGCTCCGTAACCACCTCCGCACTTCATGGCCGTCCTTCGCACTCTGAGTGTCGTCGTGTCCATGGTCGTCCTGGATGCCTTGATCATCATCTTCAGACCGGCCGTGCTGGTTTTCTCTCTCTATGATGCAGTGCGGCCCGTTGCACCGTTACCCGTTCGCTCCGAAGGCGGGGGCAGCGCTTCCCGGGGATGTGGCGAAGGATCGTTTCCACGCCTCTGGGTTCCTTGACGCTCCGCGGCCGCCGGCGGGCGGCCCGGCCCGGCTCTCCGGGCTCTCGCCCCCCGAGGGGCAGTGTTGGTCAAAAGTGCTCACTACCGGGCAAGTATCACCGAGTGCGTCTCACTACCCATAAAGTGCCAGCTTTCAGAAGTCCAAAAGCATGGAGCTTCCTTGCGTCGATGCCGTGGATCCGGGCCGTTTGCGAGCAGCTGCTCTTGCGAGTGGTGGAGCGCGCTTGTCCAAGGTAGGTGTTCGGGAAGACGGCGGCCACCAGCACAACAAAGAAGCACCATTGCCTGGTATATTTCGAAGGAGCCCCTGCTCTTCTCGCCGCCCGCCACATTCTTGTGCGGACCTCGCGCAACTGGGCAGTACACATTGATATAAGTGTCCCGTCACGGTTTCTTTATCACGTATCTTGATATTACATGGCGCTCGTCTTCCCAGCCACATTTCAAAGATCAGGGTCGGCCGCTGACAGTATGCAGTTCTAGGTTCCACGGGTCTTCAGTTCTTGCCAGTCGGGGTCGCAATTGACGCTGCCATGGGGTTAAGGATTGTTGGTTCATCTTTTATCAACCTCCTGCTTCTAGGCGCTGTACAATTTACCGTCGACGAGGCGGTGGCCACATTTTGTTTTTCTTAGTGGGAAACGAAGATGAGCACCGCCCCGCCAGATGGATGTCGTGAGTCCCAAGGCAGGGGGGGGGCCCTATTTCTGCGGGGACTGAAGGTCAGAGAAGGACAGCGTGAGAACATTTTGGAGGCACCGCTATATCGGCCAGAATACGGACGAGAACCACCTGTTGCTCACCACTGAAGTTCTTGTTCGCAAAGGAACTCGTTTTGAAGAGGTCCTCCTTGTGGCACCCTGAGGGCCAGAAGTCTGATTCCTCGCCAAGATTATTGCAACGCCTTCGATTTTCTTTGGGCACCACTTCCTTTGGGGGTGTGGGGTTCACAAAAGTATAGCCTGCGCGCTTTTGAAATCGCCCGCCAAGTTCTGTGGCAATGGATTTTGCCCGCCCCCCCCCCCTCCCCCCTCCCAGAGAGAGGGCTCCCGTGTTTCTCAGATCGCCTGGGCGAGCGGGGCACCCGACGCCTGGGTTCTGATGCTTCCTGGTACCATCGCCTTCGCCCACATCTTCCTACTCAGGACCGCCGTCCCGAGAGCTAGTATTTGTTCGAAGCGCTGCAGCCACCCTTGAGGGCCTGGCGCTTCGGCTACCTGTTCATGTGTGTCCAGTGCGAACGTCACATGTCTTCCGCACGCCACGATCGGCTGCCCTTCTCTGGGCCCTGGGAGGTTTGAAGGCTTCGCGGCGGACCAAGAACGGTCCTGACACGTGTACGGCAGTATGCCATGTTGATCGTGGTTTGTCCACCGACGTGTCCATGTTCTCGCGTTGTCTGCAGTACCTCCGGAGCACTTCTGTTCCTCAAAAGGTATCCGCCTCGGAGTTCTACGTCACGCTGAACACCGCGGCTCCCGCATTACAGCGCCCTGCCCATTCCTGAATACTATCAGCAGCAGCGATCATTCTCAACGTTTCATGTGTGCGTCTGTGTCTGTGCCTGTGTGTTTGTGTGTGTGTGTGTCTGTGTGTATATCTGTGTTTGTGTATTTGTGTGTTTGTGTGTGTGCGTGTGTGCGTGCGTGCGTGCGTGCGTGTGTTTTGCAGTCGGAGTGGTGGTCGACAAAGTGTATGTTGCGTAGAGGGGCAGGATGATGAGGCAAGGGGGAGCATGAGGGAGGGCGTGGGAGGCAGAAAGGAGAGAGGAGAGGATGGGTTAGAGAGGATGTGTCAGAGGGAAGGGGCGGAGGAGGAGGATGAAGAGGCAAGAGAAGCAGGACGAACGTGCACAGCATGAGGACGAGAGACGTGGTGGATCTCGATGGCATAGCATGTACGGGCGTTGTTCTCCCCCCCCCCGCAAGCGCGATCGCCTTGCTTCAGCAAATCGCTTCGCGGGATTCGCCGAGCTGACGTTGGGCTGACAGAGATTCGCTAGATGTCTGAGGGGAAGCGGATGCTTGTCTTAGATTTGAGGCACTTCTCTTCAGCGTCCAGAAGTTTCACCAAGAATTGCCCTCTCTTATTGCGTAGCCCATCTGCGGAGTCCCTGCTCTTGGGCCGCTGGGCGAGGTACATCGTGCACTGTAAGTACGACAAGGCGCACGGGGTCTTCTCAGCAGAAAGCTCTGGGAACGACAACTCAGAGCCAGAGAAGACGTGGGCCCTATTTTACAAGGATCGTGCGGGTTGGAAGATCGATTCTGCTCTTGCTACCCAGCACGCGACAGTTCTTCATCGGTCCATCAACTTGCCAGTGCGTGGTTCGATCTCGGGCGTGTGCGACCCCATCGATCTAGATGGCCTGGGCCACAGAGTACCTTGTCAAATGGCAGTCCATCGCTCTACCCAAGCAGGGCTGGCCAGCGCTCCCGATGGTGAAAGAGCCAGGGCCGCAGGTGGACAGGATCGAACGGAGCAGGAGGCGGCGCGCTCGACTCCGTCCAGCAGGGACAGGGGCCTCGCACTGCAGGGTGCGGCGCCTCGCCCCAGGAGGCTAGGGACGCAAACAGCACCGCGCGGAGACGGGCAGGCGCACACACACAGCTGCTCCTCTCCGCTGGCCCACGAACCCGGTCCTTTTTGGCACCCTCCAGAGGCGCTCGCGCCTTGCCGGCGGGCATCTCCGACCCGGGGCAGAGACGCACACGCAACCGTCGAGCATCGCCTGCCGAAGGCCCGCGCGGGCTTCTGAAGGTCGGCGCTGGGCTCCCTCTCTCCACCCACCTGTGCGGCGCGCCTCCCTCGCCGCCCCCGGCGCGTTCCGCGCGCCCTCGGCGGGAGAGGGTGCTCAGAGCCCCCTCGGGCGGGTGTTGCCAGTGGTGCCCCTGGCCCGAGGGGCCCCCCAGGATTTACAAGCAGGCCTTCTCGGCCTCGAGAGCACCCCTCACGAGGCCGAGAGGGCCCCCTGGGGCTCCAGAAAGGAGCTCAAAGCTGGGGGCACCTCGGGCCAGGGGCACCGTCCAGCAGCCCACGACTTGGGGGTGGGGACGCCGAGGACCCAGGACTGTCTGGTGCGCCCGATGGGAGTGCAGCCGAGGGTCGAGGCTTTGTCCATGATTCGCCCTCCCCAGGCGGGATGTCCAGACCCCTGGTTGGCAGCGTCTTGGTTCGGCGGGCCCGGAGGTGCAGGGCAGCGAAGGACGGGGACTCTGAGGGCAAGCAGGTCCTGGACCTCGGGGCTCTCCGCAGGCCCAGCTCCTCACACCGCGTCGTCTTGTTGACGATTCCGTGGCCGCGGAGGGTCGCGGGACCCACTGCGCGGCGGAACGCGCAGGACCGCGTTCTTCCAGGACCTCTTCCTGCATGCTAAGGTCCAGACGCCGATCCAGTGTCTCCAGGCGGACCTCCAACGTTTGTGTTTGTGCTGTTGTCTGGCTCCTCGCTTCTTCGAGCGCAGGCGCACACCGCCGAGGCCGGGGCTCGTTGTCCCCTCGGCTCTGCCCTTGCTGCCCGCAGGAGCCCCTCGTGATCGAGTGCTGGGGCGAGCAGAAGATCGCTCGAGGCTTTGGAGCTGCACGCTGCGAGCAGATCAAGGATCCGCCTCTCGTTCTGCCGGGGCTTGGCCGGCGGGGAATGTCGGCGAGACGACGTTTGCCACGCCGGCAGTGAGGGCGGGTGTTGAGGTGTTGCAGGGAGCAGCAGATGCCATCGCAACGATGGGCTCGTTGGGGAGTGGGCACCGACGGCAGAGGGGGGAAGGAGGAAGAGGAGGAGGAGGAGGAGGAGGAGGCGAAGGAGGAGGAGGAGGAGGAGGAGGAGGAGGAGGAGGGAGTGGGGAGTCGAGGGGGAGGAGGCCGAGCTGAATCATTCGCACCAGGTATTGCAGCCGATCGCCCACCGAACGCAGCTAGTCGTATGTCATTCTTCATCTCCGGCCAGGGCCATCCTGGGCCATAGGATACTGCACATAGACTATAGGTTTTCCGGGTCGAAGACACGAGGTTATCTAATAGCCTTCGTCCCATCCCGCCACCGTGCCTGGGTCGTGGTCAACGTTCTCAGGGATGCTTCTTCAGGTCTCCTCGGGGCGCCCTCGGGAGCCTCGTGGGAGCAGTTAGTGGGCCTCTTGGGGGCCTTTGGGGGCCTCTTGGGGCGCCTCCTGGGGGTCCCGCGGGGCCGAGGGCTCGAAATGTCGTTTCGGGTTCCCCATCTGGGCCTCCTCTTGGGGCCGTCTTTGGGCCCTCCTTGGCAGCTTTGGGCGCCTCCTGGGCCGTCTTGGCTTGGGCCGTCTTGGGGCCCTCCTGGGGGCCTCTAAGGCCGTCTTGGGCATAGTGGACCGTCTTGGAGCGTCGGGACACCGAAAGGCGTGAACGCTGAACTCCTTGAAAGACCTGAGGCAAACCAATGAATTCTGCCTCGTGGGAGGCCTCTTGGAGGCCTCTGGGGGTGTCTGGAAGGCTTCTCAGACCGTCTTGGGGCCGTCTTGGGCATCTTGGAAAGCTCTTCGGCCGTCTCGGAGGCCTCTTGGGCCCTCCTGGGGCCTTTTGGGGGCCCTCTGCACCTGCTTTTGGACCCTGAGGGGTGGGGTCACCGTCCCGGGAGGCCCACGCGACACACCCAGGCACGCCCAGGAGGGCCCAGCGGCGCCTGGGAAACCAGGGATCCAGGCCCTGAAGGACCTCTGCACCCTGGAACCTCTCAGGGCTACACCTCCTCCTCCTCCTCCTCCTCCTCCTCCTCCTCCTCCTCCTCCTCGTGTCCCAGTCCCACAGATCCCCCATACTCAGGGTCCGCCCTGGTTGGTTCTGCATCCCAGAACAAAGTATTGTCGGCCCCGGGGCCCAGGACGGCCCCTCACATTATGAAGGACCTCCAGCGCGCTCTCTTTGATTACCCTCCTTTCAATATTCCTCATCGGCTCCTTCTTGAGCGAGGAGCCTTGGGACATTCCACTACGTGCTGAAGGCACGGTGACGGCTGTACACCACCCTGGGGTCCAGGATGTCCATGGCCAGGCATCGTGGTGGTGTGCAAGTGCCTTCTGGTTGAACCATGCGCCGAGCAGCGAGCAAACAGGATGAGAATGAGCTCCCGTCCAAGACTCTCGACGCCGTGCTCCTTCCGCGGCGCCAGTTGGCATCGAAGGCTGCTTCGCCGACCGAGCGGACCAGATCTCCGGCAGGGCGACGGGCCCGTGCTTCCCGCACCCCCCTCAGGCGTTCCTCGACACGGTGATCAAGCGTGTCCGGCCGGACCTCGGGCGCAGCGGCGTGCAGGCCAGGGCCGAGCGCTGTCGTCGCTGTCGACGTCGCCGCGGTCGTCGCGGCGATCGCCGCAACGTCGTCGTCGCTGCCCAGGCGTTGCATCAAACCTGCCCGCTCATACGATCATGAAGCTGTCCTCCTTCGTGCCCCTTCGCGTCATACTGTTTCCCCTGCTTGTCGAAGGCCGTGGCAGAAGCGGGCGGTGGGAATGTGTTGCACGCTGCTTCGGATTCACCAGGTCTGCTCATCCACTAGGCCGTGCCAATGTATGCCCTCACGGGGACACCTTGGCAACTGTTTTGACGACGATGTCGACGTCGTCGTCGTCGTCGTCGTCGTCGTCGTCGTCGTCGTCGTCTGCCTTGCCGTCGTCGTCGTCGACGTCGCTGCCATTCCTTCTCTTCGTCCGCCACTGGGCGGGCAACCTGGCGGGACCTTCCGCGGTCTCCCTGCAATCGGGCCAGGTAACGTCCAACGAGAAGCTGCGATGCGCCATCTCCTCGCCCCTGGACGCCATCCTCAGCTTCGACAGGCTCCTCTGCCGCTGCAGGGGCAGAAAGAGCCATCGTCGTCGCCGTCGTCGTCGTTTCGAAGGTTGTTTTGATGTTCACTGAGTTGCTCGCCGCTCACAGCTGTACGTCTTCTTTTTCTTCGCCGCTGTATCGATGCAGAACCATATGTTCGTATTGATACCATGCGCTGCTCGGGCGACACAAGTCCCGTTGATGATGGCTGCATTGTTCGAAGGCAAGCCCCGGGTGGCAGTTGCGGAGTGCTGCAGCGAACGGCCTGACTTGTTGCCCCTGGGTGATGTGTTTCCGTTTTTTTTTTTTTTTTTTTTTTTTTTTTTCTCTCTCTCTCTCTCTCTTTCTCTCTCCTCTCTCTCTCTCTGCTTCAGTCACTCTGTGATATTTGCATGTTGCGCCGCCTGTCGTGCCGTTCAATGTCAATGCTATGTTTCTCGTGGGTGGGCCGTGTGCGTAATCATAATCTGCCTTGCGTCCGTACAGTAGGTTCGCGTCGTGTCGACGCCACTGCGACCCCAGCGCGAGCGTTCAAGGTTGGGCGCCGCTGCGACCCCGTAGTTGCCCAGAGTCGGCCAATATGGACCGAGCTGGCGATCGAAAAGCTCCCGATCGCTCAAGGCTGAACGATCCACGCGGTGTCGGCATCCAACGCCAGGGTCATCGCGGCACGAGCTTGCCATAGCCACTGCGTCTCAAGGCGCCTCGGCTCAGGGCGCCACTGCGGCACGCGGCCTTGCCCTCCCCACCGCCGCCCGTGGCCGCGCTCCTCGCGGGGCTGCTGGCCGGATGCAGGATGCAAGCTGGACGGGCTCGCCGAGGCGCTCGCCCGGCAGCACGCCGCGCGGCCCGTGGATGGGGGCCGTGTGCCGCCCGGTCCGCAAGCGGCAGCCGGGCGCCCCTGGCCGCGGCAGGGCCGCCAGAGTCGTCGCAGCCCAGGGGCGGTCTCCTCCTCCTCCTCCTCCTGCTCCTCCTCCTCCTCCTCTCCCTCCTCCTCCTCCTCCTCCTCCTCCTCCTCCTCCTCCTCCTCCTCCTTGCGAAAGCCGGCCCAGGCCACCGGAGGCCACCGGGTGGGAGACGCGAGGCCGAGGTTCGGCCCGAGAAGGCACGCCTCGGCGTCAGGCTCTCAGGCGTCCCGCGCGGGGCGGCGCTTCCGAGGACCACTCCTTCGACGGCGAGCAAACGCACGCTCGGTGGAGAGAGTTCGGCCACGCGCACAAGGGGGGGTAGGGGGAGGGTGGGAGGCTTCTGAGAAGCACCCCTGCTTCTTAGAAGGCGCGGGCCCTGCCTGTAGACGCAAGGCCGGCGCCTTCGAAGGAGCAGCCTGCTTCTCAGAAGCCTTCCCCCCTCCCCCTACCCCCTTGTGCGCGCTGCCAAGGAGTGGCCAAGACTGCGAAACGGAAAGCGGTGGAGCACGCGAGCAAGTTTCAGGAGGGCGTCGAGGGAGCGGGCCAAGCAGCCGAGAGGGAGCAAGAGCTCGCAGAGCGTAATTGTGGAGTCAGAGGTGGTCCGCACGCAGCGAGGCCGATTGGGCAGGTTTTTGCGCTCTTGCTGTTTCGACTGCATGGTCGCCGTCGCAATCTCCCTAGACACATCTTATCAGAGGAGGAAAAGATACCCATACCGCTACCCTTCCCCGTTTCTCTTTTTTGGACCCCCCAGGGAGGCCCTCGTTGCCACCGCTGGATTCGCCTCGAAATTCTGGTCAAACCCCAGCTCGGGAGAGGTCTGGGGAGTAGCGGCGGTCTCGGTACCTTGCGGTCTCCCCATTTGGTGCTTGGAGCGGCATGTGTTGTTCCAGGCCTCCTCGAGAACGGAGTCCGAGCGGTTCGCAGACGTGGAGTTGGAGGTCGCGGTTATTGGCGCACCGCTCCAGGTCTGTCTTCACCGAGAGCGACGAGCGCTCGTGGAACTTGTTCGACCGCACCCTGACGTGTGTCTCCTGTATCGGTTTGCTGATCAACAGCGATATTCGAAATTCCGGTACGCTCCTCTCGCATAATTGGAGGCCCATTTGGATGTTCCAAATCATACGTTTCATTTGCTCTACGAGGCTTGCCTCACAGGTTCGGGCGCTGCTTCTCACGATTGGTAGAGGGGTTCGCTTCGGGTGCTGCTTCGGGCTTGCCTCGCAGCTTCGGGGTGCGCTTTGGGTGCTGCTTCTACCGGGTGCACGCTGTGCGTGTCTAGAGGCATCAGCTGGTGCCATGCCTCTTACTCGATGTGCGGGCTTGGCTTGGCCATGGAGTCTACCCCTGGGGCCTTGAAACTCTGTCATGACCAGCGCTCTCATCCTACTTGTTGATGTTTCCATAATGAATCGGCCCGATGGAGTGGTCTATTCACCATCTTCTTCTTCTTCGGTGATCAACGTAGTCATTGCTGCTAGCCTCCCAAGTGGCAGTGACGGGACAGTTACCCTCTATTGGGGCGGGGCGCAGCGAAAACCGCGCTTTTGAGGCGCGCTACATAATCATTGGCGAGGTGGTGGTGTTCGACATAAGCGCGGATTCGCAGCTCATGAAAACAGAGGTCCAGACCGAGACCAAGGAGTCAGAGGCCGATAGGTTCCACTACGAATTGGATCCGCTATTGGGTGGCTGTAATCCAGAGAGCAGGGGTGAGCGAGCTCGATGTGGAAAGGGGATGACGAATCGACAAGTTGCCCGAGCAAATTGTGAACATGACGAACCGTCAGCGTAGTGCAAAACAGTTGGCATGGGTATCGCGGCCGCGAACATCGCCTCCTCAGGGCCGCTTGTCCTGCTGGCGCTCCAGCGCTTGACTGCCAAATTTGTCAAGGCGGGCTACATGCTTACGGCAGATCAGTGTCCTATATCAACTGGGACAGATGCGAAGGACAGAAGATACCTCTACTGCCACTGCAACTCCTTCGACGGGGACACCACCGAAGAGGCCTGCCACTCTAAAGCGGCCCGACGAGTCCGGCAGTGGCAGTGGCGCAGGTGCGCCCCCCCCTCGAGAGTGGCGCGGCCCGACCTCGAGGCTTCCGCGAGCGACTGCGACCCCGGGCGGGCGAAGGTGCACTCGCACGACTGGTCGCGCGCGGCCACTGTGCGCCACGTCCGCGCAGGCGGGGGACGGGCCCAGGAAGCGGCGGCGATGGCGGCGCAAACGCCAGACCCTCTTCCCGCCTCTTCCCGACGGCGCCTGTCCCCGCTTCTTCCCGACGGCGCCGCCCGGGGGACAGTGGGGCCGCTCCCGCCTCTCGTGGGGTGGCCCACGACGCAGCGGGGCGCCTGGCCCCCCAATCCCCCGCGGAGCCACGGGCAGGGCTTTGCGAACTCCGACGCCGACGAGGGAGTTCAACGACGTCTGCATGTCTGTCGGGCATTGCGTGGTCGGAAATACTGAGACGCACGCTTGCCGAGCAAGCCGTTGCAGTGGATCCGCCTGGCTTTTTTTCAGACGCGCGTGGGTGGATTGCCCAAAACGCAGAGTTCAAAACTCAACGTCGGCATTTTGCCTACAGCCGTGTGCTGGGCCGCAAATTATGAACCTGTAGTCCCGACGTCGCATCCCAAAGTCGGTGGGGAACGCGCGCTCAAGCAGCAAGGTCACAAGTGCGGGTTGCCGCGATGAGAGCCGCTGGCGAGCGCGCCCTTGCGATCGCGCAGCTCGGCCTTCGCGCGCACTTACATTTTTAATTGAAGCTGGCCAAGGTCTTTTCAATCTAAAACGGGAGCGGGGTTGTCACCACCTTCTTCCGCGGTGAACGCGATCGTCAAAGCTGCGCGCGTCCATCGCGGCGGTGTCGGGGCAGTTCGCCGCGCCGAGGCAGGGCGCTGCCTGCTCAGCGCCTCGCTGGCGCAACGACTCAACCCGACGAGGTTGTCATCTTCGCGCGGGTCGTAGCGAATTCCAGGTGGAGGCTTCGACGGCAGATGCCGCCGAACCCCACCTCGACGAGGGCCCGCTCGCAGAGGGCGGGAGGTTTCAGGAACGAGGGTTACGCGTGCTCCACGTGGGGGCACCGTCGCGAGCAGTTGCCCGTGCAAGTTGCGAATTTGACGACCATTGTGAATTGCGCCACGCGGAACAGTTGGCTCGGGCGTCGCGGCGCTTCTCTATATTTTTAAGAGCCCGAAGCGCAAGTGGCCCAGTGCGTCGAAGGGAATCCGACGCCTGCTTGCGATGGTCGACCACGCAGGCCACGCGCCGACAGATCAGCAATTCTTTCCGCAACGACGTCAATATTTCGGGCCAGATGCCATTCCGCCGCCGGCGTCTAGCGCTGATGCACCTGGGAAGACGATTGTGAGGGCTGCCAAGACGACCCAAACTACCCCGCCACTTCTCCAACTGGGCCGGAGTGGGTGGGGCTTCATTATGCTATTGGTAGTGCCATGGTTTCTTCTCCGGGCGCGCGACAAGCCGCTAGCTGTTGCGCGCGATGCCGCGGCGGAGCAACCCTGAGTCCGAACGGCGGGCAGCGGCCGCGCGCGGGAAGGCGGCGACCTTCGCGGCCCCTGTTTCGAACGAGCTGCTGGCGGACAGCGCCGCCGATGGCGCAGCGGTTCAGGGGGCGTCGGCGCCGCGCGGAAGGGCTGCCACATCGTCGCCGCTGGATCAGGGGCGTCAGCCCGTCGCCGAGGTGTCCCGTTAACCTCTTGGAGCTCAAGGTGACTGGGCGCGCGCGCCGCCGACCCGCCCGACCGCGGTTCTTTGTCGGTTCGCGCGCGCCGGGGCCCGTTGCGCTGAAGATATCGTTGGGCGATCCTTACAACGTCCAGTCAGCTGGCCCCCGATCGCGTTCAATCCCGAGTTTGTCGCGAGAGTGTCGCCGGGGCGACTGGGGCAATCGATGATGATGGCGAAATCGCGATGTTCTGTTTCCCACGAGTGCTACATATGATTCCTACATTAGGGCTCAGCCACGCAATTGAGCATTCTGCCGGCGTCAGCAGCCGAAGCCTATGACGAGGTGTTCAAGTGGCGCGGAGCAGGAGGCGGGGGCCAATAATTTGAATCGGCTTCGCCCAGACAGCGTCGCAGCGCGGCAGTGCGGGGCTGCGGGGCGCGCCGTGGGGGCGGCGATTCACCGTTGGACGCATTGAGTGGCGAGCGGGGCGGGGGCGCTCTGTCATCGAGGTGGAGTGTCGACCGAGCGCCCGTTGAATGGGCGTATGCAGGTGGCCTCTTCCTGGGCAGCAAGGCCAGGTTGGCTCGGCGCCGCGCCGGTTGCGCGCGCCGGGCGCAGGGCGCGGGGGCCTCGCGGCAGCCCGCGCGCAGACCGACGCAGCGAGCGCTGGCAGCAGCGGGCGCGGCGCGAGTGCGACGGGGGCGCGGCGGCGAGGGGGCCGCGCCGCGCCGGAAGGTGCCGAGGCCCAGAATGCCAGGGTAGCGGCGCCACCAGGGCACCAAATGGCTCCAGCAGACGACGAGGCAGGTCTCGGCGACCCGCCCGCTGCCTGGCGCCGCCAGTTACCGCGGCGGCGGGCCTGGCGGCGGCGCTGGGGGAGATCCGACGCTAGCCGCGCCGCCGCCTCGAGCGCGGGCAACCGCCGGTTTCGCCGCCCCCCCGAAAGGGCAGGTGCCACATGTGAAGGAGGACAACAACGCCCGCCAGGAAGTCTTGAGCCGAAGACGCCGCGAGGCTCTGCCCTGCCCGCCGCCGCGCGAAGGAGTGCATGGCCCTAGCGGGTCGCAAAGGTAATGGCGACGGGCGTTTCGCGCGCGGCGGCCACGACGCGCGCGCAGCAAGCCAGCCTCGAGCCTTTGGAAGAGGACGGTGGTCGCCCGGGAGGCCGAGCTCAGCGTTGCCTTCGGCTATCAGCGGCAGGGGAACTCGACGCGCGCCAGCGCAAATGTGGGGGCGACGGCGCCAGGCGTTGATGGGGCTTCGACGGCGGGTAGGCAGGCGCGCGCCATGCTTGCGCGGGCCTCGCCCGAAGCTGCCCAGACCGACGTGCGCGCCTGGAAGTAAAGCGCGGAGCTCTCCAACAATGGTCGCGGGGGTTTGCGCGCGAGCCCTGCCAGATGCAGGAAGGTGATCAGGTTGATTTCGGGGCGGCGCGTTCGATCGGTCGCTGGCGAAGAAGCGCATTTTCTCACGGGGCAGCGCGGGTGGTTCGCGAGAAGGAGCATTGTCGCATCCAGATATGTCCCGGGCGGCGGCGAGGGCCAGGGCGCCCGCGCGGCTGAGAGCTTCGCTGGCGCGGGGGAAGACGCAGCGCGAAGCCTCTGGGGCATCCGATCTACCGCGTCATGAACTCGACGCGCAAGCGGCCCTTATCGTTGTTGGACGTCAGAGGCGCGCGGATCCAGGCGGAAGGCCGAGCGGCAATAAGTCGCAGCATCACGCCGTCCGTCTTCTGGGGGGGGTTGACGACGATCGAGAAGCAGCGGGGGGAGGGGGGGGGGCCCGCGCAGGTAGATCTCACCGAGGCCGCGCAGTTGAAGTGCCCCTCTTGCGGCTGGCCCCCCAGGCTTGTGCGAGGGCTCGCAGTGCTCGGGCTCGTTCCTGGCGTCGCAGCAACTTCGCCACCAGGCAGAGCTAAAGACGCAGTTGCTGGTTCGACGAGAATGCTTGCCAATTCTGCGCGACCCAGAGCGGTTCGGCAAAGAGCGCGGCTTCGTCAGCGAATGCAGTGCGACGCAGTCTCAGCGCGCTACCGGGCTTCGGTCTGCGTGGTTGAGGAGGGTGGAGCTTCTGCGACTCAGGGGAAGAGGCAGCTCTTCACTGCGTATTCGTGCCCGCTTCATCAGGCATGGAGAACAACCCCCAAGCAGAACGAGACCGCGTGCACGTTTCGGGGGACGTGCTTGGAAGCGATTCGGGCCATGCAGCACTTCCTGGGCCGTGACCCTTTCATGGTAGGCTATCAGGAGGTGCTGCTGGGTCCTAAAAGGCCGAGAACCATGCCAGGAGTCAACCAGCACGTGGCCCATTGGCAGTGCAACCGATTTTAAATTAGACGGTGTTCGCGAGCTGATGCATCCCGCAAGCAAAGGAAATTCAACGCAAAAGCGGGCAGCAATACCGTCAGTGGCAAGCGGTCCGCCGCTTAGCAGCTGCAGCGTCTCGCAGGTCAACGGCGACAGCGGCGCGCGGATCACTCGTATGCATCCTCAAGCAGTCACTTGTGGGCACGCGCAAGAGGTTCCTCTGACCTCCATCCCGAATTCTTACGAGTGCACCCCCGCGAAGAATTTCACACGGTGCTTTACCGAGGAAGGGTGCATGGCTCGTTTCCGGACAAATCCGCGCATTTTCGCATTTACGTGTGGTCCCCAGTCGCGGGGTCAGTTTTGCTTCAAGAAAGTCTTCCGCCCCGCGCGCCCCAGAATTAGTCGCATGGCGATTTCAACTGACGGGGTTCCTCCTTACTACAAACAGCTCGCACATTGAACGTGCCTGAGCACCGTTTGGTGGAAAGTCTCAAAGCAGTCCGATGGAGATAGTCCGACGGTGGGTGTTCCAGAAGGTCTCGTCTACTTTAAACATGCCCCCTGCCGAGCGCACCCAAGACAATTTCGAATGATGATCCCAAGTTGTAGGGGGGCGGCCTTACTACAAATATTTCTTTGATGGCGTCTTGGCGTTATCTGTTGGGTGGCCCCAAGAGTTTGTTTGTGAGCCCTTCATCGAGAGCGCCCTTGCAGAGTTCGAATGTCGGTCTCAAGTGGTTGGGGCCATTTCTGTTTCAAACAAGTCCTACTTTGAGATTCAGAAGCTCCTTGGGCGAGCTCTCTATGTCGCGTGCATGGACCAGGACTGGAAAATGGAGAGGGGGGGACTGGGGGAGGGCGAGGGGATGATACGGCGGGAAGAGGGTTGTGGAGGGGAGAGGGCGTGGAGGGAGAGGGATGGATGCGACCTAGGTCGATCATGGGCTGTACCATGTCATCGTCAAAACCATCTTGGGGTGCATGGTGACATGTCGAAGCCATTGAAGGCAAACCCTCACGCTTCGCGCATCCCATTCGCCCATCCATGAACGAGGCAAGGATGCCTGAGGGAGCTGCTCTTTTCGGGGGAGCGTGGCATCACTTGGTACCCTTAGGGGCCTCATTGAATCAGGGGCCCTTTCAATGCCTCTTGGAGACGCTTGGGGTTTCGCCAGGGGGCCTCTTGGTGGTCACTTGGGGCGCCTTGGCGGCCTCTTATGGGCGTTCTGGGTGCGTCGTGGGGGCCTTCGGGGGGCGCCTTACGGGGCCCTCTTGAGGCTTTCTTGAAGGACATCGATCAAAGAAGGGGCTGTCGCTGACGGCTCCGGCTCGTTGGGCGGGCGTGCTGAGGGTCAGGACTGCCTCTGGCCCCGCGTTCGTTCTGAAGACTTCCAGCGCCGCCGCCGTCGTACGACCAAGCGAGTTGAGCTTGTGAAGCGGGGCCGATGCCCGCCAGGCTCTGGAACGAGCTGGTCGAGCTGCTCAAGCGGCCGCAGACGCAGGGCGTGTTGAAGGAGGCGACGCTGAAGGTGGCGTCTGACACCGAATTCACCGTGGTGCTCCTGCCGCCCGCAGCCTTCTGCTCCCAGACCTTTCCGCATCCCGTCCTAGTGCGGTCATCCTTCAAATCCATGCAACTCTGGATGCGTCAGAAGTCGCCCCCGACCCTTGGATCCGCGGGGGGGTCGGTCACGTGCTGTCGGAACGGGTGGAAAGCGGGGTTTGGAGGAAAAAGGGGTGGAGGAGGAGGAGGAGGAGGAGGAGGAGAAGGAGGGGGAGGAAAAGGAGGAGGAGGAGGAAAAGGAGGAGGAGGAGGAAAAGGAGGAGGAGGAGGAAGAGGAGGATGAGGAGGAGGAGGAGGAGGAGGAGGAGGACGAGCGAGGACGAGCGAGGGGGGGGATGTGCAAGCTCCGGCGGAAGGTCAAACATCCCCCCTTTGATCAACGCCCCATTTACCGTATGCGTCACGACGGCACTCCCTCATGGTCGAGCACCGCCTGCGAACGACCGAATGCGTCTTGATCTTCAAAAACACATGTTGCACCGAACGATTCAGTCCAGCGTGTGGAACGCAACGCCCGGATCTCAGGGCACGCTGCCGCTCGTATTCGTTCTCCATGTCTCTTGGGCTGATGAAGAGCGGTCGTCCAACCAGCCAGCACTGAGGTGCACACCCTGGACGGTGCCAGTCTTCCACGGCCAGAGGCCAAGGGCAAGGGCAAAGGCAAGGGTGTGGACGACGTGAAGACGATCCTGAAGTACAGGATGCCTGCTCATGGGAAGGGTGGAAGGGTGGAGCATCCATCTTCCCCTGTGCTGGAGGAGGAGGAGGAGGAGGTGCAGGAGTGAGTCGCTGCCAGGATGGCAGCGCTAGGGGATCGGGCGGTGAGTCCGAGTGACAGAGCGGCAGTGCTTGGCCGAGTGGAGCGCCTTGCCCAGGCAGAGCAAGCAGGCAGGCTGGGTGGGCAGGGAACGGAAGAGGAAGAGTGGAGGGAGAAGCATTTCACGCCGACGAGTTCGAACGACAGCGTGCGGTTCCTTGGGAGTATTCACCGGGTGGAAAACTACCCTCCTCCACTCTCCCCAAGCCCCGTCTTGACTAATGAGCGAGTTTTGCTTTGGGATGGATACCAAAACTGTTCGTCTGTCTACGCTCTGCGGCGGCAGTGTGGCAACTTGGTGGGTAGTTTCAGACGGTCAGGATGATCAGCGTTTAGGTGAATGCTGGGGAGTGGGAGGAGGATTGGGAGGAGGAGGAAGAGGAGGAGGAGGTGGTGATGTAGATGCTGGAGGTGTGAGAATGTGGGGGCGGGTGACGGGAAGAAGCAGAGCAAGGCCCTGGCTCGAGTGCTCCGCGGGGTCGCAACCCCCCGCGCAGCAGATTCGCTTCGCGATGGCAGCAACGCATCATGTTTTGACTCTTCTCTCAGTTGGCAGCAGCGCATCTGTCCTGCTTCCCTGGTTGCAGTGACGTGTTCCGTTGGCACCCACGCATCCTGTCTGCTACCATCGCCTCGCCGACATCATGCGCGCTGGTGGGCCGAGCGCTGGGCGGCGGCACCACCGTCCTGGAGTCGTGTGGTTTCACACAGCCTTACGACCCAGGCGAGCTAGTGCAAAGCATCGCCATGATCATAGTACCTGTCACCCCAAGCTCGCCAAAGAGGACGGGTCTGGTACAGGGGGGTCCGCACGCCAGAGATGCACTGGCTTTACCGACCTCTCTGTGGGATGCCGCACATGAGCGTCACCACACACGTCCCTCTCATTCCATCTCATGGAAATTGCTTGTGCTGTTTGTCCTCAGTGATTTTCTCTATATAACCTGGGTCGCTCCTCCTTTACAGCTCTGTTCAGGGTGCTCGAATGGATGGGTGATTATACAGTTGATCACTATCGTGTGAGTTCCCCTGTGGCGGTCTCTTGCTTGTTCTTCTCGTTCCTCTGCAGCTACCAGTTCGGCCACATTTTGCCGCAGCTATTGGTGGGCAGAATCCCATACGCTTTCTGGGGCATGGCGTTGCCACCTTTGTTGGTGCTGGGGAAGGCGGTCTGTTCAATTGGTGCGTCGCTGTTCTTTGCTGTTTCCATTAGTTTTGCCAAATTAAGCGAAGTGCGTTCCTAACAGTCATCGACTTGTTCGCGGTGGTATGTTCGAGCTGTCATTGGTCGCCGCTTTCGGAGCGTGTCGCAACAGTTCATATCAGAGAGACTTTGAGTTTGGCTCGCTTCGTCCTGTTGCACAGGCACGCGGTCTTCCTGTGGTCCCGTGCGCTGATTCTCCTCCGCCCTCCAGCCGCCGTTCAAGGCCAGAGAGCGTTGGTCGGATGTGCGTTGTCCCCACCAGAGGGTGGTTCGCCTCGCAAGTTGCATCCTATGCACTCATGCGCGCCGGTCTCTCCGTTGTGGCAGGCTACGCGAGGGTTCGCAAGACCTCTTAGTGCTTGTGTTTGCGTCGTCAAAAAAAGAAACAGAACGCAGGCGGGGGGGGCGGATGAGAAGAGGCGGTGAGGGAAGAGCAGGATGACTGTGCAGGAGGGGAGGTAGAGCGGGCGGGGCCGCGAGCGGCGGCAAGGAAACGCGGCTTCGAAGGTTGACGCTGGGTCGCACCTCCCAGGTCTCCTGCGAGCAGAGCGGCAGCTTCGCCCAACGCACCCCAACAAACACATTACGCACCGAACGAGAACGACAATTGGAAGACCAGGGGGCCGTTTCTCGAATGATGGACACCAGCATGAACATCATTTTTCGGAGGTCCGCGCGGATTTCGTGAATCGCCTCTGGACCCCCTCGCTGGCGCGGAGAGCGCCAAGGGCGGCGCCGGAGGCGCCGCCGGGGGTGTCCAGCGCGGAACCAAGAAATCCGCACAAATCTCCGAATATGTTTCTTCCTCTAGCCACATTTCGGGAATCACAGACCGCGTTCCATTCTTCGCAGAGTGCCTATTCGCACACGTCCGAGAAAAGCACATGCGTGCCTCGATGTGATGGATCGTGCACCCTCCGCGGCGAATCCAGGCCATTCGCGAGTAGTTAATTCTTCGAGTAGTGGAGCGCGCTTGCCCATCTCGGGAAACTCGTGGGCCCAGCGACAGAAGAGAGAGGTCGGGCGTCGCTTCTTTGGCACGAGCGGGTGGTCTTAAGCTCGGATATGCACGGGGTGCGGTGCAGTCGGGCCAAGGTATAGGATCGAGGTCGGTTCGGGGAGGGTGGCCTAGTGTTCTTTGTGTTTGTTGGATGTTCTTGTGCATCCCTGGGACGGTACCCTTAGATGTTTTGTTTGTTTGGGCCGACGGAGGGTCTCATTGTCCTGAGGGATGTTCTTCTGGTCTGAGGTTGGTTGTAGCGGGCTTGTGGAGCAGGAAAGGGGGCGAGGATCGACAAGAGCAAGGGCGAAGTCTACCGCGACTGCTACAGGACTGCTCCCTCTTCCTCGTCCAATGGTGATGGACAATTTCTCCCGCCTGAGATCTGTGCGTCTCCACGTCATCGTCACATCGTCCACACCCTTGGCCTCTGGCCTTGGAAGTCTAGCACCTGAAAGGGACCCTGACAGGTCAATCTGGCCCCAACAATGACGCAGAACGATGGGGTCTGAGGCTATGGATGCGCTTTATCTCTATGTTGCGTGTGTGTACGTGTGTGTTTTTCTCATATTTGTGCTTGTCCTTTCTTCGCAACTTCCTCCTCTGTATGTGTTCTACTTGAGTGCTCTCCTTGTTTATTGGCTCAGACGTTGCGATGTGCTCTTGTAGTACGTAGCATATTGTTGTGTGTCGTCTCACTTTGCCATTGGCCCAGATGGGCATTCCAATCCAGTCCTTGCCTTACCTCCATGTCCGGACTCAGTGGAGGCTCTTTCGACTTGGGAAAGAGCATGTGCGAAGTGAGGAGGAAGAGCGCACCGGGAGGTCTCCGACCTTCCATCATCAGTGACCATCCCCCTCTGTCTGGCTTTGGTCAGCCAGCTCACCAGTCCTCGCCCTCCGTTGCGTGCCAACGGGGTTTGCTTGTTTAGTGGGGGGGCGGCGGAGGCACAAGCACGCCGCGGCAGGAAACATTCTATTATGAAGTGCACAGACGATGCACTTACCGTGCGTCGATTCTGGCTGGGCCCATGCTGGGCCCAGCTTCGGTGCACATGCCCTCCCGCCCTTCCCTGGGGGGGCATGCACACCAATCCTTCGCCCCAGGTCGAGCGAGCGAGCGAACCACGCGAGCATGCCTGTCGGCTGCTCGGCCCTGTGCAGGGCATGGGTGTACAATTCGACTACCAGCCAGACAACATATATGAAACGTGAGCAGAATGTGGAACTGGGAATTCGGAAAAAATGGGTGTAGATGGTGCACCCAGGCCCCCGTCTTTGTGTTTTCTGGCGTCGCGGGATCCTGCAGAGAGCCCCGCCGAAGGCCTCGGCGACGGCGCCCGCATGGCGTCACTCCGCCCGTGGCGACGCACCCATCACACGTTTCTCATGGCCCCACGGGGAGCCCCATCGAAGGCCCCAGGGGCAGCGCCCGCACGGCGCCACCCCGCACCAAGGGGCACTGAACCTGGGCCGGGCCCCGCTGCCGCTGCTATCGGTCACCGCAGGGCTCCTGCCTCGGCTCCTGCCTCGGCTCCTCGTCTCCTCGTCCGACGCCTCGCCTCCTCCGTCTCCCCCTCCCTGACCTCGCCGTCCTCCCCTCCGTCCTGGCCCTCCCCTCGTGGACCCTCTCCTCGTCCTCCTCGCGCTCCTCCCCATTCGCCCTCCGCGCCGCCGCCGCCGCCGCCCGCTCGCTCACCGTGCCCCCGGCGCCGAGGATGGCCGGCGGCCTGATCGACCGCGGCTGGATCATGGCCCGCGCGCCGCGCCCGCGCGCGCGCGCGCGGAGGCACGCCGCCGCACACCGCCCGCTCGCCGCGTGGCCTCGGCTGCGCTTCCTCGCGCCGGCGCCCCGGGCCTCGGGCGGGCGGGCCCACATTCGGCAACACCCCAACATACTTATACTATATGTGCGTCGCCCCCCCAGGGGCGACGCGCGCACCGAGAAATCTTATAGTATGTGCGTCGTGGCGGGCGCTTTCTGGCCACACCGCTCGGGAAACGATATACTACAAGATGGGTATAATATATGTCCGGGTCGGACGCGCGCGTCCAAGGATGACATATAGTACTAGTACGTCTTTGTGCATCCCACACATGGCATCCTGAGTCCTACATAGGCTTAAAAGTGCTGGCCCGTGCACCGCTGGTGCACTGGCGAGGCGGGGCGATGCTCCGATCCCGGCTGCTCGGACTCCATGCTGGGAGGCCTCCATAGAAGTGTGTGGGGGGTTCGTGTCGGTACTCGGACGCCTCCGCCGCCCCACTCCCACCTCCGTCTCCCTCCTCCCCACCTCGCACTCGGACTCGCTCACACCCAGACTCGCTCACGCCGAGGCGCACTCACGCTAAGACTCACACTCACACTTGGGTGCAGAACGGCTCGATTTTTATTGTTGTTTATTTTGTTTTTTTGGGGGGCGTAGCCCGAATTTGTTTCTCGCGAGGTACACTGACTGAACTGAGCTGAACAGGCTGGTCGCACGCGTTACGCCATTGTTTTATTCTCGGCCGTCAAGGGCACAATTTATGGCGCAGCGGATAGGAGACGGCTTTATTTTCGACCGCCGTGGGCGCAACCTATGGCGCAAGCGATAGGAGACGGATTTCTTCTTGGCCGCCGAGGTGCCAGGAGAAGGAGGATGACCAGGAGGAAGAAGAGGAAATACGACGACGATGTCCTAGACGAGGTCGACGAGGAGGAGCTGGAGCAGGAGGAAGATGAGGAAGACGAGGAGGATGAGGAGGACGACGTCGAGGAGGACGACGATCAGGACGAAGTGGGGGCATCCGACTGTGTGCGGGGCTACGCTCGATGTATGCTCGCCGTTTGGGCTGGCGGTGGGGCCCCAGCCGCGAGCTGTCTTGTGGCTTTCTTGCCGCATTTTTCCGCGTTCAGCACTCTGCCCGCGGTGTCGACGCCCTGGCGGGCCACTTCGAGGCCCCCTGGGCCATGCGTTGGCCGCCCTGGCCCAGGACCGCCGCGTGGAGAGCACTGCTCCCGTGGAGCGCGCGGCGAGGGACGCGGGCCAGCGAGCGGCCGCGGGGCGCGCGGGCCAAGCGCCCGCGGCCGCAGCCGGTCCGCGGGCCCCGAGCGTCGGGGGCAGCTCGAAGAGGACAGATCGGGGGTGCACACGGAGCCCCAACCCTGACACGTCGATTCGTGGAGTGTCCGTTGTCGGTTCTCGAGAGGGCGCCGCGGCCGTCATTTTCCAGGCTTGCGCCCGCCAGGTTTGGGCGCGAGGTCGTTTGCACTAAACCACGTTTGACTAAAGGGGGTTCTGTCCATCCCCGGAAAAAAGGAGGCCATACACATTAACTTGTGGCGCTTCGCTGGGCCCCCCCCCCCCCCCGCGGCGCCTCTGGCGCCGCTCCTGGCGCAATCCTCGCGCCAGGGAAGGGGGGTCCAGCGAGGATCCAAGAAGTCCGTGCGGAGCGCCACAAGTTTATGTTTATGGCCCTTTTTTTCGTTTTCTAGCAGTGTTACGGGGTGGGGGGGGGCAGGCTCGGGGGAAGGGGGGGACGCATCGACCCCCGATCGCCCACTGATCGCCGAGAGGGGCGCGAGTAGCCGCGCCCGGACGGCGAACGTGCAGCGATGCGCTGTCGGGGACCCAGAGGCCAGGGCGTGTGTGGGCTGCGGGCCCCTGAGAGAAGGTCTCCAGCATTCATTATAGAGAACTCGAAGGGACCGGAGGATACTTCATTTCGTGCCACAGGGCACGCTGGTGGAAGCTTGTTGTCAGCTGCAAAGACGTACATACTTGTATGTATAGACATACATGCATACATGCAAACACACATACACACATTCATGTATATATATATATATATACATACATACATACATACACACAAACGCGGCCATCGAAACACACATAGATGTGCTGTATACATGCATTCATTGACATGTGCATGTATGTCGGAGGTTGGGGTGTGAGTCCGAGGTGAAACGGAGACCCCCCTACCGGGAAGTCGATTTCGGTTTCGGGTTCGTGTCGTGCGTACCGTGCGTGCGCGCGGACGAGGCGAAGCTGCGTGGGCGTGGCCGCGGCCGGACCAAATGTAACTCCTCCGGCGGCCGGTGGCCCGCGGTGTCCCGCCGGTGTCCCGCTGGTGTCCAGAGATCCTCCTGTGGCTGGGCCGCGGCTGGACCAAATGTTTCTTCTCCTCCGGTGGCCGGTGGCGCGCGGTGTCCCGCCGGTGTCCCGCTGGTGTCTCGAAATGATTCTGTGGCTGGGCCGCGGCCGGACCGAATGATTCTCCTCCGGCGGCTGGTGGCGCACGGTGTCCCGCTGGTGTCCCGCTGGTGTCCCGAAATCCTCCTGTGGCTGGGCCGCGGCCGGACCAAATGATGCCCCTCCCGTCAAACGGTGGCCCGCGGTGTCCCGCTGGTGTCCCGCCGGTGTCCCGTCGTGGGTAGCGCATTCCAAAACATCGCCGCTTGCGGCGAGCTATCCAATGCAAGTCTGCATGCAAACCGACATGACTCACTAGACTCCGCCCCACAGGCATCGTCAGAACAGCAATCACCACTTTTGCCCATTGCTGCCCCCCCAACCTCCTTATCACCCGCAGGGTGATCGTATAGGTATATATGTATGTGTGTATGTCTGTCTGTCTGTCTGTCTGTCTTTCTGTCTGCCTGCTTGTATATATGTATGTATGTCAGTCTGTCTGTCTGTCTGTCTGTCTGTATGTATGTATGTATGTATGTATGTATGTATGTGTGAATGTATGTATGCTGTTGATGTATACATGTATTCATGTATGCATATGCGTGTATGTATGTGTGTATGTATGTGTGTATGTATGTATGTATGCATGTGTGTATGTATGTATGTATGTATGTATGTGTGTATGTATGTGTGTATGTATGTATGTATGTAATGTAATGTAATGTAACGTAACGTAACGTAACGTAACGTAATGTCATGTAATGTATGTATGTATGTATGTATGTATGTATATATGTATGTATGTGTACATGCATGCATGTATATGTATATGTATATGTATATGTACATGTGCATGTATATGTATATGTATATGTATATGTATATGTGTATGCATGCGTATATGTATAGGTATATGTGCATGTATATGTACGCATGTATGTATTTATGTATGGATGTATGTATGTATGTATGTATGTATGTATGTATGTATGTTTGTAGTGTATGCATGTATGTATGTATGTATGTATGTATGTTGGTACGTACGTACGTATGTACGTATGTATGTATGCGTGCATGCAGGCAGGCAGGCAGGCAGGCATGTATGTATTTATGCATGCATGCATGTATGTAGGTGTGTGTATAGATGTATATATATATATATATATATGTGTAATGGTTTGGACGGCCCAAACAAACGTATACTACTTGTTTTGATGCGAGTTGAGATCGGATGCGTATTGAAAGCTGTACTGAGTTGCAGAGGGATCTGTCGTCTGAGTTGCAGTGAAAGTTGCGTTTCTGGTTGTGATGGGAATTGCGGGGAATGTAGGAGAGCTGCATTCGACACCGAAGCAGGACCTGTATCGACAGCTTTAGTAGGAACTGCATGATTACCTGTCGGGGAAGCTGTGCTACTGGTTGTATTATGGATTGTAACAGCAGCTAAGAACTGCGGCGCACTGAAAGCTTTTACTATCAATTGTGGTGGGATCCGTAGCAGGAGCTGCAAGCAAGACGAAGCACATGAGGAACAGGGACGGGGATGGAAGTGAGCAATGATGATGGGAGTAGAAGATAGAAGAAAAGTGCGGGTGGCGACAGAAGAAGATGAGAACTAGGAATGATCGAACAAACCAACCTGATAGAGAGAGAGAGAGAGAGAGAAAGACAGCAAGACAGACAGACAGACAGTCAGCAAGACAGACAGACAGACAGACAGACAGACAGACAGACAGACAGACAGACAGACAGACAGACCGACCGACAGACAGACAGACAGACAGACAGACAGACAGACAGACAGACAGACAGACAGACAGGCAGACAAAGAGACAGAGACAGAGAGACAGGGACAGAGACAGACAGACAGACAGACAGACAGACCACACATACAGACGGGCAGTGTGAGAGAGGGAGACGGTGTGGAGGAGGAGGGAGGCACAGACGGGGGATGATGGGGGTAGGGGGGAGAAGGGAGGCACGCGGCAGGCGGGAGGGGGAGCGTGGCGGAGCAAGAGGGAGAGGGCGGGAGGAGGGAGGAGCGAGGAGGGAGGAGCGCTCGTGGTGGAGGGCGGGGCGAGCCTCGGGGAGGGGCGGGCGGGGCGAGGCTGGGGCGAGGCGTGGGGGGAGCGCGCGCCCCCGAGGGCGCGCCCCCGAGGTCCGCACCCGGCCCCTGCGCCTGGAGAGCTGGACCGAGACCCCCGGCCTGAGGCTGACCGGGCACGACAAGGCGCGCCGCGCGGGGGGGCGGCGGCCCGGGCCGGGTCGTCCAAGAGCGGCACGACGGCGACGGCGACGGCGACGACGACGACGACGACGACGACGACGACGACGACGACGGCGGCGGCGGCCGGGACCAGGCCCAGACCCCCTCGAGGCATGAGAGAGGCACGGCGGGAGGTTGGTTTTTGGCTACGGTCGGCGTCGGGAGGCCCTTGCCTCGAGGCTTCCTAGAATGGGTTCCGAGCAGATGGGGTCGGAGGATCGCGCCGCGTCGCCGATGTGTCGCCGACATCGACGATGCGTCGCCAGAGTATCGCCAATGCATCGCCGAGGCATCGGCGGCGCGATCCTCGGACCCCATCTGCTCGGACCCTTTCGGAGGCCCCTAATGAAAGAAGCACGGCGGGAGGTTTCTGGCTATGGTCGGCCTCCAGAGGCCCTTGCCGGGCCCCGGGGCCGTCAAAAAACGATGCGGGATGGACAACGGGTCCCGGGGGACGGGTCGAGACCCCTATATGGGGTCGACGTTGGAGGAAAACAAGAACAAATATAACAGGCGTCGGGGGCTTGGAGGGGGGGGGGAGGTCGGACGGGGCCAGGGCGGGGATGAATCCGTTCCAGAGCGTCCTGGAACGCTCTCGGAGCGCTGCGGGACGCTCCGAGGAGGCCGCGGTGCCCGAGACGTCCTCCCGAGCCGCTGGATCCCAGAGAGTCCCCATTTAGGGGAACAAAAAGTGACATACACATAAAACCTCGGAGGTCCGCGCGGATTTCTCGGATCGGCGCTGGGGCCCCCCGGCGACGCCTCCGGCGCCGCCCCTGGCGCGCTCCGCGCGCCAGGGACGGGGGTCCAGCGCCGATCCGAGAAATCCGCGCGGACCTCCGAGGTTTTATGTTGATGCCACTTTTTGTTTCCCTGCCATTGATCCCCACCCGACGTGTGATCTTTCTCCTGGCTTCGTCCTACAGGCAGGCCGCCCGGCCGGGGCCGCGAGGCCTCCCCCTCCACCTCCTCCTCCTCCTCCTCCTCCTCCTCCTCCTCCTCCTCCTCCTCCTCCTCCTCCTCCTCCTCCTCCTCCTCCTCCTCCTCCTCCTCCTCCTCCTCCTCCTCTTCCTCCTACTCCTCCTCCTCCTCCTCCTCCTTCTCCTCCTCCTCCTCCTCCTCCTCCTCCTCCGCCTCCTCCCCCTCCGCCTCCTCCCCTCCTCCTCCCCTCCAGAGACGGGGCCTGCGCAGGCCGGGGTCGGCGAGTGCGCTGGCTCCTGCAGGGTGTCCTGCAGGGCCGGGGCCGCAGTCACCCGGGCTCGGGCGCCGGGGATCCTGCAGGATCCTGCCAGGCCCGACTGGCCCGGGTCCGGCGTGGCCCGGGTCAGCATGGGGGGGGGGCCCGCGCGCCTCCGCGGCGGCCCCCCGCGCGCGCGCGGCGAGGCCAGGCAGGTCCAGGACATCCTGGACGGCGTGGTGGGCCTCACGGGCGCCTGACGCCCCGCGGCGTCGTTTTTTTTTCTCGGCGGCGAGCCCCCGGGGGGTGGGGGGGGGGGAAGCCTCTGAGACCCTGGCGTGGCAGGCTGTTCGAGCCGGGCGCTGTCGCCTATTCTTCGGGCCCGGGGGCCCTCGCGGATCGATCCGGCTGGAAGAGTGACGCAGGAAGATGGGGTGTGGGGCTCCGGGCGTGATTTTGTACGACACTGCGATTTTTCCGCGACGTCGGATCTCATGGAAGCGAGATCGGGGCGGGCCTGCTCAGAAGGCTCGGAAGCCCTCTGGCCTTCTGGGAAGTGCTCTGATCCTTTCCCGAAGGCATGGGGAGCCTCTCGGGAGGCGCGAGGGCTTCTGGAGAAGCCCCGCCCTCTTCCGAGAAGGCCTTCTCCTTCTCACTTCCCCCCCTTCGCTCGCAGCCGACTTTTCGCGGCGGCGCACGGGTCTCTCTCGGCGGCGGCCCGACGGAGGTGGGGAGGAGGTGCAGCTCGGAGGGCAACACCGCATGGTAGACCTAAACTTTGGGAGATCCACGCGGATTTCTTGGATCGGCGCTCGATCCCTTTGGCGGCGCTTCGGGCGCCGCCCCTGGCGCGCTCCGCGCGCCAGGGAGGGGGGTCCAGCGCAAGTCCACGGAATCCACACGGACCGTCGAAGCTTGAGTGTCTATGCAGGTGGTTCTTCCTCTCTGGCAGGGGGGGATTAAGCTGGTGTTGACTGCAGCCAGGGGCAGCTTCAGGGAGGGGGGAGAACTGGGCTCGAGGGGGGAGGTCATCGAGAAAATAGTCCTAAACCGAATCAAGCGATCGTGACGTGGCCTCACTTGGGTGCCCGTCCTATCGCGTTAGGGATAATACATCTGGGCGGCGTGGTCTGATACATCATCAGAAAAAAAAGCCTATCCGTAATGCTTTTTGACCCTCCTCACTTAGGTCCCCTCCCGAAGGGTTATGGATGCTTTCATTGCTTATCAGGAAGGGGTAAGCATCGACCCCCCAATCGCCCGTTCATCGCGCCGCGCGGCGGCGCATGGGTCTCTCTCTTGTGGCGGCGTCCCGACAGAGGGAGGGCGGAGGTGGCCGCACACCAGGGGCTGGAGCATGGCCATGAGTCGGGTGTTGCTGGAAGTGCATCTGGCCCAAGGTGCCCCCAGCTTTTTGCTGCATTCTGGAACCGCTGGGGCCCTCCGGGCCTCGCGAGGGGTGTTCCGGAGGCCGCGGGGGGCCCCTTGGAAATCCTGGGGGCAGCTTGGGCCAGGGGCACTTTTAGCAACACCCGGATGAGATTGTTCTCACCACCTCCAACGCGCACAGCATGGTGAACATTCGTCGGGGGCAGGTTCGCGAGCGTGAGACGCTCGACAACAGATGTGCGCAATGTTTCGGGTGAAGGCCCGCAGACCTCACTCAGTGTAAATGTGTGTGGCTCCCATCGCATTATGTGTACTCTCCAGCGTCCCACAGGTTGAGCAGCTGGGACGCCCAGACAAAGCTCCTTGTCCGTCCAATCGACTCGGTACATACATAGAGTCTCTCCCATATCCAGTCAATGCGCTGAAATATGGACCACTTTGGCCACTTCGGGCTCAGGCGGGGCTCTTGTTTGCGGGTCGTTCCTCAGATCTGGGTCGGGGAACTTGGTCGTGGCCGAGGCTCGCCGCGGCCAGAGAGGCCCCTTGGTTCCTCCTCCCGCGTTCTTCATGTTAGCGCGATGCCTCCAGGAGGGCGGCAGGACACGGGGGACTGCGGCCCGGTGCCAGCGGGTGTCAGTTTTGTTTTGTCGTCGAAGAACAGATGACACCCCTGCGGCAGAAGAACCTGATTCTTAACGCAGCCACGGTGGAGGGCCACGATGAGGGTTCACGATGGGGGGGCCATGATTTCCTTGGGATCCGACGTGGCGAAACAACTGCAACCTCATTAGAAATCTCGCCCGGAGCCCTAGACCCTATCTTTCTGCGTCACTTTTCGAGCCAGATCGATCTGCGAGGGCCCCCAGGCCCCAACAAAGGCTCAGACGCCCGGCTCGAAAAAATGGCAACGCCAGGATCTCAGGGTCGGGGGGCCACTGTGGGGTTGGGGGGCACGATGAGGGTTCACGATGGGGGGCCACAGTGGGGTCCACGATTGCTGGTGGGTCACGGAGGAGGGTTCACGATGGGAGGGCCATGATGAGGGCTCAGGATGAGGGGCCACGATTTGGGGGGCCACGATGGGGGCGGGGCCACGAAGGAGGGGGGCCACGGGAGGGCGCCTCGACGTTGTGCCACGATGGGGGGGCCACGCTGGTTGGCCACAGTGGGGGCCACGAGGGGGGGGGAGGCCATGCGCTCCCTCTCCGGGCGCTGGAAGACATGTCTTCGTTGAACCCTTGCGAGCCTCTTTTCTAGGGAGAAGCCACAGTGGGGGCCACGATGCGGGGCCCAGGGTCCCTCTCGGGGCGTTGGAAGAAACAATCCAGGTTTGTATGTATGTATGCATGCATGCATGCATGCACGCACGCATATCTGGATGCATGTATACAAGTAGGTAGGTCGGTAGGCATGCACGTAGGTATGGATGTATATATGTATGTACGCATGTGTGTATGTATATGTGTATGCGTGTATATGTGTATGTATGTGTGCATGCAGGCATGCATGTAGGCATGTCGGCATGTATGTATGAATGTATGCATATTTTCATGTATGAATGTATGCATGCATGCATGCATGCATGCATGCATGTATGAGTGTATGCATATTTTCATGTATGAATGTATGCATGCATGCATGCATGCATGCATGCATGCATGTATGTATGTATGTATGTATGTATGTATGCATGTAGGTGTGTATGTATGTATGCATGAATGTATGGATGGATGTGTGCATGTACGAATAGATGTAGATATGTACGTATGTTAGCATGTATATATGTATGCATGTATGGCTGTATGACTGTATGTATGTATGTATGTATGTATGTATGTATGTATGTATGAATGTGTGTGCATGTATGTATGTATGTATGTATGTATGTATGTATGTATGTATGTATGTATGTATGTATGTATATATGTATGTATGTGTGTATGTGTGTGTATGTTTGCATGTAGCTATGTATGCATGTATGTATGTATGCATGAATGCAGGTATGCATGTATGCATGCATACATGTGTGCATGAATGTATGTGGGAAGGTAGGTCGGTATGTCAGCAGGTAGGTAATGCAGGTATGTATTTCTGTATGTATGTATGCATGCATGCATGCATGTATGCCTGTCTGTCTCTATGTACGTATGCATGTACGAAAGAGCGCGTTCTATGGTCGCTTGGAGGGGTGGTTGAACCCGACCACCCCCACCCTCCCCTGCATGGAGGGGGGGGGTTTGGACCCCCTCTCGGTGGCCTCTGAAGGGCATGTGTGAAGCCTCCTGGGCGCCTCTTGGGCATCTCTTGGGGCCTCTCTGATGTGGTGCTGGTGGTGGGCTGTGGTGGTGGTGGTGGTTGTTGTGGTGGCTGTGGTGGTGGTGGCGGTGGTGGTGGTGGTAGTGTGGTGGTTGCTGGTGGTGGAGGTGGTGGTTGTTGTGGTGGTTGTGGTGGAAGGTTGTGGTGGTGGTGGTGGCGGCGGTGGTGGTGGTGCGGTGGTTTCTGGTGGTGGTGGTGATGGTAGCTTTGGTGGTGGTGTGTTAAGGCGGTGGTGGTGTTGGCGTGGTGGTGTGGTGGTTTGTCGAGGTGGTTGTGGTGGTGGTAGTGGTTGGGGTGGTGGTGGTGGTGGTGGGTTGTGGTGGTGGTGGAGGCGGTGGTGGTGGTTGTGGTGGTTGTGCTGGTGGTTTGTTGTGGTGGTGGTGGTTGGGGTGGTGAGTGGTGCTGGTAGTGGTGGTGGTGGTGGTCTTGATAGTGGTCGTGGTCTGGTGGTTTGTGGTTGTGGTAGGGGGTTGTGGTGGTGGTGGTGGCGGTGGTTTTGGTTGTGGTGGTGGTGGTGCGGTGGTTTGTTGTGGTGGTAGTGTCGTGGTGGTGGTTGGTGGCGGTGGTGGTGGTGGCCTGGTGGTGGTGTGGGGGTGGTTTGTGGTGGTGGTGGTGGTGGCGGTAGTGGTGGTGGTTGTGGTGTGGTGTTTGTGGTGTTGGTGGCGGTGGTGGTGGTGGCGGTGGTTTGTGGGTGGTGCTGGTGGTGGCGGTGGTGGTGGCGGTGTGGTGGTTTGTGGTGGTGGTGGTTGTGGTGGTGGCGGTGGTGGTTTGGTGGTGGTGTGGGGGTGGTTTGTGGTGGTGACAGTGGTGGCGGTGGTGGTGGTGGTGGTGCTGGTCGTGGTGTGGTGGTTTGTGGTGTTGGTGGCGGCGGTGGTGGTGGTGGCGGTGGTTTGTGGAGGTGGTGCTGGTGGTGGCGGTGGTGGTTGCGGTTGTGGTGGCGGCGTGGTGGTTTGTGGTGGTGGTGGTTGTGGTGGTGGCGGTGGTGGTGGTGGTGGTGGCTGTGGCGGTGGTGTCGTGGTGGTGTGGTAGATCGTGGTGGCGCTGGGTTGTTGTGGTTGTGGTGGTGGTGGTGGTGAGTTGTGGTGGTGTTGGCTGTGGTGGTGGTGGTTTTGTGGTGATGTGGTAATGGTGGTGGTGGTGGGATGAGGTGGTTTGGTGGTGGGGGTGGTGGTATTGGTGGTGGCGGTGGTGGTGATGGCGTGGTGGTTTATGGTGGTGGTGGTGCTGCTGGTAGCGGTGCTGGTGGTGGTGGCGGGTGGTGGGTGGTGGGTTGTGGTGGTGGTAGTGGTGGTGGTTGTGGTTGTGGTGGTGGTGTGGTGGTTTGTGGTGGTGGTGGTGGTGGGTTGTGGTGGTGGTTGTGGTGGTGGTGGCGGTGGTGATGTTGCTGGTAATGGTGTGGTGGTTTTTGGCTGTGGTGGTGGTTGTGGTGGTTGTAGTAGGTTGTGGTGGTGATGGTGGTGGTGGCGTTTCTGGTGGTGGTTGTGTAGCGGTTTGTTGTGATGGTGGTGGTTGTGGTGGTGATGGTGGATTGTGGTGGTTGCGGTGGTGGTGGTGGTTGTGGTGGTGGTGGTGGTGCTGGGGTTTGTGGTGGTGGTGGTGGTGTTGGTGTGGCCTTCGGCTCTTCCCGCCACCGTGTTTTGGCTTTGAGTTCGAGTTTTTAATGGGTGCCTCTTGATGTCTCGTCAGGAGGGTTTCGGGGGCGTCTGAGGAGCATGCGTGAAGCCTCGTGGACCTTCCTACGGGCCTCTCGGTGGCTTCTGGGGGGCGAGGGCTCGATATGGCGATTTCTGTGTTCCCTCTGCGGCCTCTGGCCCCTCTCTGGTAATCGTCGCTGCGTCCCCGCCGACGGCGCTGCTGGCGCCGCCAGCGCCGGCGCGGGCGCCGGCTCGGGGGGTGGGTGGGGCGGTTTGGACCCCCCCCTCCCCCTGGGCCGCCTTTGGTCATCATCGCTGCGTCTCCGCCGTCGGCGCTGCTGGCGGCTGCCGGCGCCGACGCCAGGGGGGGGGGGTTCGGGAAGGGGGGGTTGGGGGGAGGGGAGTCCCCATGGTTCTGATCGACGGCGCCGAGTTCACAAACCATCATTTCGGGAGAACTTCTGGGGCGGCAAGGTTCTCCCGAAATTTATTTATTCATTTATATGTATATATACATATACATATGTATATATATATATATATATATATAGATTGGTTTTCTGAAGCTTTTCGCTGGTTTTCGCGATTTTGCTGATTCCGAAGAGGAGGAGGAGGAGGAGGAGGAGGAGGAGGAGGAGGAGGAGGAAGAGGGGGAGGGGGTGCCCCCCCCTCTCCGCTTCGAGGCGTTAATCACAAACCTCATTGTGAACGCAGCTGCAAATCAAGTTTTGCGAGTAATCTCCTGCTACGAAGCATTACTCACAAAACTAGTTGTGAACGCCGCTGCACAAGTAGTTTTGTGAGTTTGGTGTTCCTCCTCACCTTCGTCATGCTCCTCACCCTCGTCTTCTTCGCCCTCCTACTCCTCCTGCTCCTCCGCCATCCTCCTCCTTCTCCTCTTCACTCAGCCCCCTCCTCTCCGCTTCGGGGCGTTACTCACAAATCTAGTTGTGAACGCATCTCCACAACTTGATTTGCGAGTAACCTCCTGCTACGAAGCATTGCTCACAAGACTAGTTGTGAATGCCGCTCAACAACTAGTTTTCTGAGTAATGTGTTCCTCCTCACTTTCGTCGTTATCCTCACCCTCCTCTTCGTTCTCCTCACCCTCCTCCTCCTGCTGCGCCTGCTCCTCTTCTTCATTCTGCGCGCTGCTCTCCGCTTCGAGGCGTTACTCACTAATCTAGTTGTGAACGCAGCTGCAAATCAAGTTTTGCGAGTAACCTCCCGCTACGAAACATTACTCACAAAACTAGTTGTGAACGCCGCTCCACAACTAGTTTTGTGAGTTTGGTGTTCCTCCTCCCTCTCGTCATGCTCCTCACTCCCCTCTTCTTCCTCCTCACTATCCTCCTCCTGCTGCTCCTGCTCCTGTTCATTCTGCCCGTTGCTCGCCGCTTCGAGGCGTTACTCATAAATCGAGTTGCGAATGCAGCTCCACAACAAGTTTGGCGAGTAACCTTCCGCTACGAAAGATTATTCATATAACGCCGCTCCACGAGTACCTTTGTGAGTAACCTGATCCTCCTGACCTTCGTCATGCTCCTCACCCTCCTCTTCTTCCTTCCCGCCCTCCTCTTCCTCACCTGCCTCCTCTTCCTCACCTGCTCCTGTTCATTCTGCCCGTTGCTCTCCGCTTCGAGGCGTTACTCACAAATCCAGTTGCGAACGCAGCTCCACAAGCATGTGTGTGAGTAATGTGTTGCGCCTCGCCCTCGTCATGCTCCTCATCTTCCTCGTCTTCCTCCTCATCCTCCTCCATCTTCTCCTCCTGCTCCTTCTCTTCGCCCTTCACCCTGCCCTCTGCTCAAAAGGACTCTTATTGAAACCCTGGACAAAACAAGAGAAATGAGGCGGATGAGGAGGAGGAGGAGGAAGATGAGGCGGACGAGGAGAAGGCTTCTAGTGAAAGCCACCACAGAAGGATTCCTAGTGAAATCCTCCACAGCAGAGTTACACCCTTTACAAGAAGGAGAAGTAGGCGGATTAGGAGGGTGAGGGAAAATGAGGCGGATGAGGAGGAGGAGGAAGGAGAAAATCCTCCACATAAGAATTCCGATTGCAATCTCCCGCAGAAAGATCTTATCGAAATCCTCCGCAGAAATATTCCAATTGAAATCCTACGCAGAATGAGTCCGATAGAAATCCTCCTCAGAAGGGTTCGTGTTGAAACCTTTCACAACAAGGAGACCTAGGCGGATGAGAAGGAAGAGGAGGAGGAAAATTAGGCGGATGGGAAGGAATAGTAGGAGGAGGAAGATGAGGCGGATGAGGATAAGGGGGAGGAGGAGGGATTATATCCTAAACAATGGGTTCCTCGTGATCGATTGCAACGCAATCGATTGGATTGCAATGCGCTGCGAAAGATTGCAGTCGCTTCGCATTGAAGTGTTTGGAATGCAACGATCATGTGGGATAGCGTCTATGTATACATGTCGTTATATAGATTAATATATATATATGCGGAACCATTACATACAACCTTTTTTCAGGGCAGCGCAGCGCGAGCATGAACTGCGCGGGTTTCTTGGATCGGCGCCGGATCCCCACGGCGTCGCTCCGGGCGCCGCCCTCGACGCGCTCCGCGCGCCAGGGAGGGGGCTCTGGTTCCGTTTCAAAACATGCGCGCGGAACCCCATTGAAGGTTATGATTAAGTATCCTTGTCTGTTTGTGTGGAGGGACAGCGAGGCTTGAACGGGGCATCCTAGAGGATGTGATTTGCGATGTCATGCTCAGCGGTCAGAGCCCCGCCGCAAGCTCTCCGACGGGTTCGTTCTCCCCGAGCGGTCCCCCTTAATGTTGGAGCTGCGGCCCAAGAACGAGGATGAGGACCTGATTGCTGGACCTCCGTCGCACACGTAGAGAGTGCCAGGGGAGATACAGCAGTGGGTCCATCTGCTTCGGATTAGGGGTGCCGAAAGCCAGGTCGGTTTTCCGTGTCCCCCCGCGCATATTTTGCGTATGTTTGTGATTTTGAAGTTTGGGGCGTCGATGGAACTTGAAGACGTTGGCAAAACTCCACGCAATGCTTCCGTCGGGGCGTCGAGACAGGAATATACGGCGTTCCTTACGTTACTCCATGGCCCCGCATCGAACAAACCAGCACGTAGTTGTTGTAGTGTGTATGTGTGTATGTATTCGACAACTGTTTCAAATTCATCGTAGGATGACGGTGGCAGTATCTCCCTCCAAGGCCGACGTGGTACTGTAAAAAGAGCCTGTTGCGAGCCGGTACACCTTAAGGCGGCGCGGTGCTGTATGCAATACCGGTTAAGTTGCGTAGCCGGTCACTGCTGCGGATAGGCGATAGACGGCCTTAGCCAGCTGGTGCTAGAGTGCCGGAGCACTTCAAAAGCAGTGCGCTCCTCCATTTAATTGGTTGGACATTCATAGATGGAGTGGGTGCAGCTTTCGCCCTTCAACCCATTTGTCCGCACCAGCAGCGGTCAAGCTTTTTCCTGTATTTGCGCTGCGCTTTTTGGTTGTCTGACGATTGGGCTCCCGTCTGGACATCTGTTCTGAGGGGCCATGGGGCCAGACACGGTGAACCACCTTCGTCTGGGTGGCGGTTTGCTCCTCGTCGTCCTCGGCGTCCTCGTCATCGTCCTCTTCGCCGTCGGCGGCTTCGTCGCCGTCGCCGTCGCCGTCGCCGCCGCGGCAGTCGGCGCCCCCGCGCAGCCCTGCGGCCAGGGGCGGGGGCCCCCTCGCCTTCGCCGCTGCCGCCCTCGTCGCCATCGCTCTCGCCCCCGTCGCCCCTGCCTTCTCCGCCGCCCTCGCCGCCGCCCCCGTCGCCGCCGTGGCCCTCTCGCCGCCGCCCTCGCCGCCCTTCCAGTGCCACGCTGCCCCCGCCCTCTCCGCGGGCAGCCGCCGTCCGACGTCGCCCGCCGCCGCGGCGCCCTGACGCCAAGAGATGCAGTTTTGTTTTTTTTGTTTGGGGGGGGGGCAGGTTTCCTGACCTTCCAGAGAGCTATTTTTTAGCACTGGAGACCTAAAAACCTAAAAAGCTGAGCGAAACAGCCTAAAACCAAGACGTAGAATAGCTTTGGGATAGGTTTTTAGGTCGGGTGCTATTTTTTAGCCCTCCTGGAAGGTCAGGGTTTCTGGAGCCCGCCATGCGAGCCGCACCATCGCTCCCTACCGGTTCGGGCCGTCGGCAGGGGCTCCCCCGTGGAGGTTCTTCCGAGTCTGACAGGCTGGCACGGGCGGGGCGGAGCTCCCTACTGGGGTCGGGATCCTTGGGGGATGGCGCGTCGCTGCGCCGGTTCTGGCCCACCGCGCCTGGGGTGCGGCACGCTGTCCCATTTCGCGGTCTCGAGGCGTCAACGTCCAAAGTGTTCCCTGGCCTCTCGCCCCGCGGAGCGGAGCGGCACGCCGTCCGCTCTCAAGGCACAGCGAGTCGCTGGGGTCGCCGTGGCGACACGCTGTCCCAAAGTTTCTGACTGTATGCTGCTTAGCGCCAGCCCTTGACAAGGGATGGGCCAGGGCGTGGTCGGTACACAGGCCGACCGAGGCAGAAGATCGAGGTCGGTTCGGGGAGGGTACCCTAACGTTCTTCGTGGTTGTTGGATGTTGCCCGACGCTGGTGCGGATCGCCTCCGCTTCGCCGCCGACGAAAAAAGGGTTTGTTTGATGTTCTGTTTGTGCATCCTGGGAAGGATACCCTTTGGATGTTCTGTTTGTTTGGGCCGACAGGGGTCTTCGTGTTCTTGAAAGATGTTATGCTGGCCTAGGTCCGACTGTATGTCTGGGGCGAGCGAGGGTGCGAAATGAGAAGGAGAAGGCCTTCTCAGAAGTCGACGGGACTTCTCAGAAGCCCTCGCGCCTTCTGAGAAGTTTTGCGTGTCTCCAGGGAAGGCTCAGAAAACTTCCCCCAAGGTCGAGGGATGTGCGAGCCTTCTGAGAAGGCCCGCCCCTTCTCATTCCCCCCCCCCCCTCGCTCGCAGCCGAGTCTGTGTGCACACGCCTCTCTCTCTCTCTCTCTGTTCTGCCTGGGGCCGGGCCCCCCAGAGGACGGAGGGAGGGGCCCCGTCTCGTCCGATGTCGCCCCTCGGCTCGGCGACTGCCCCGGGTGTGGCTGCGCGGGGGTGTGGTTTGCGATCTGCGCCATGGGGGGCTCACCGTGGAGGCCCATGCCAAGAAGCACCCTGGCTTGCCTCCAGATTGCCCTGGGTTTCTTGGGTTCCGATGGTTTTTTGCGATGGAAGGCGTGACGTTCCCACACCAGAAAAGCAAGGGACGTCGTGGGGTCTCCAGCGCTGGAAGGCTTCTTGTGGGCGAGCCCCTGCTGTGGGGGTGACCGCGTTGCGCCAGAGGCCCGGCGAGCCCACGTCGGGGCGTTGCAGAGGTCCTCGTCAATGTCCTCGCCCGCCTCCCCCCCCCAGGCACGGGTTGCAAGCCACACCCTGCGGAGTCGCCGAGCCTCCTCTCCGGTAGAGGGAGGCGAGACAGTGCGTGGACACTTCCCCTCTCGCTCTCCCCCAATTTCGAAGCTGGCACGCGCGGGGAAGACGGCGGTCGAAGTGCAACTCCTTCAACCCATCGCCAACATTTGTCATCGGGAGAGGGGGCATTGACAGATGAACGTGGTAGGAGTGTTCGCCAATTTCTTCCGAGGCCTGTCGCGCCGAAGCAGAATCGAAGATGCATCGTCTGGTTTTCGTGTCCTCACTCGGGTCTCCCGCGGCCGTTCGGGAAGATCCGGGCACGCCCGGACGCCTCTCGGCGAGGCGCAGCTGCTGGAGAACATCCCGAGGCTGTCGGACCGCCGAGGACCAACGAGCTCGCCCGAAGAGCCCAACCTCAAACCGCCGAGAAGAGGCGAACGCGCCCGAGCACCGCAAACCTCGAGCCCGAAACGTTCGAGGCCTGCTCTCGGTGGCGAGCCCAGGGAGACAAGCGAGAGGGGGCAGGCCTTCTCAGGGGGCGGCGAGGCTCCTCTAGAGCCCTGTCGCCTCCCGGCTTCGGAGGGAGCCTGCTGGGCCTCTCAGAAGGCGCGAGGGCTCCGAGGAGCCCCGCGGCTCTCCGAGAAGGCCTGCCACCTCCCACCGGTCCCCCTGTCGGACGGGGCCGGGGCGAGGACACATCCGCTCCAGCGCGGTCCAGACGACCCGAGTTCAGCCTCGCCCTGGCTTCGTCTGCGAGGCCTGCCCCCTCTCGCTCGTCCCCCCGGCCTCGCCGCCGGTCCTCGCTCTTGGGGAGCCCCCTCTGCCCCTCGGGGCTCCACTCCTCCTCCTCCTCCTCCTCCTCCTCCTCCTCCTCCTCCTCCTCCTCCTCCCTCCTCCTCCTCCCTCCCTCCTCCTCCTCCTCCTCCTCCTCCTCCTGCTCCTCCTCCTCCTCCTCCTCCCTCCCTCCTCCTCCTCCTCCTCCTCCTCCTCCTCCTCCTCCTCCTCCTCCCCCGAGGCACCCCGCCGAGCACCCCCGCGCCGCACGGCCTCTCCGCCCGAGCGGGTTGCGGGGCGGGGCGCGGCGCCCGGCGGCGCGCGGATGTTCTTCTGCTGCGGCCAGGCCCCCGACGCCGAGGCCCCCCGGGGGTCGGGCGTGGGGGGGGCGAGGCCTTTGGTGGGCCCCGGAGACGCCAGGGCCGTTGTTCCACCGTTTCCAGAAAAGTGCCCCTTGAACATGGGAACGGCAAAAAAAAACGGCGACCGGAAACGGCAACAAAAACGGCTCCAGGATCGGAACCGGAGTTGGAACGGGTCAAAAAACAGCGACGGAACCGGTGAAAAAACGGCGTCGGAACCGGCAACAAAAACGGCAGAACGGAACCGGTAAAAAAACGGCCCTGTCGTTTCCAGGGCCCACTAAGGGAGAGGCACCCTTCGGGGGCCACATGCGAACCCTACCCCCGCCCCCCACGATGTCTGAGGGGGAGGGTGGGGTTCACTTCGTTCGAGAGCTCCCGAGCGGAGTGACCCCCCCGAAGTGGTGGGGGGCGGGGGTAGGGTTCGCATGTGGCCCCCTAATCCTCAACCGTGGCCCCATCCCCGTGTCCCCTTTCTTGGGGTGTCCTCCTTCCTGGGAGGCCCTCGTCGCCGCCGCTGGCTTCGCCTAGTCGCTTTGGTCAGGACTCACCCCGGGAGAGGTCCGGGGCGCAGCGGCATCGGTGCATCCTCTGTTTCCGTGCGCGTGTGGGGCGGGGGGGGCAGAGGAGGGAAAGGTGCCGCTGCGGCTGCCCGTCCCTCGTGGTCGCCTGGAGGAGGACGTGTCTGTAGGAGGACATGCCCGACCTGATCCAGAGGGCTCATTTCGACTCCTCCGATTCGATTCGATTCGATGTCGATGGCTTCCGATTCCGATTCGATTCGACTTGGGATTCCGATTCGGATTCCGACTTCTTATGGGACGCATAGTAGCCTGCCGATTTCCGCCGATGCGATTTTTCCCGACTCGGCTGCCGATTTCCGCCGATCCGATTCATTTCGATCGCCGATCCGACTTATCGATTCGATTATGGGCTCTCCTGCCTGATCCTGGGTCCGAGCGCGCCCCAGGGAGAAGTCTGGGGAGTCGCGGTGTCGGTGCTTTTCAGTTTCCACAGGGCGGCCGGATCGGCCAAGGCCCCTCGCGAGTTGTCCGGGGGGGTCGGCGCTCGGGAGAGGAGGGGGTGGCGTGGGGGAGGCTGCGCCTCTTGCGCCAGACTCGGGCAGCTGCTTCCTCTTAAGAGACAGCGGCGAGGGCGGAGTGCACGACAGCAGTGCAGAGACTGAATGGAGCGCTTGGGGCAGGCATGGTGGGAGCGCACAGTAAAGCGGCCAGCTAGCGTTTAGATGGACTTCAAGTCAAAGATCGAAACGAAACGAAAGGAGAAGGGATGCCACGGGATTAGTGGCTGAGATGCCCCCTTACTGCCCTTCCTGCGATTCCTTCTCCGGTCTTCTCGTCCTGTCGGTGCATGTGTGTTGGCGCGTGCATACGTGGGCCCTGCGGCCTCATTGTCCTTCTGCCTGTGAGCGCGGGAGGGGGGAGGGAGTGTAGATGTAGGCGGGAGGGAGATGGGGAGTAACTGACAAGCGCGCGAGAGGTTTTGACGGGCACCCAAAGCCAATTTGAGGGTTGAGGCGACCATCATAGAATTCCTGCGATTCTGAACCGTGGTCGGTGTTTGCCTGTGATTGCCTGCGCAGTCGTCTGTCGTCGTCGCCGTCTCCGTCGTCGTCGACGTCTCCGTCGTCGCCGTCGCCGTCGCCGCCGCTGTCGCCATCGCCGTCGCCTCCGCAGCCGTCGCCGTGGCCGTCTCCGTCGTCGTCGTCGTCGTCGTCGTCGTCGTCGTCGTTGTCGTTGCCGTCGCCGTCGCCGTCGCTGTCGACGACGCTGTCCCCGTGGCCGTTGCCGTCGTCTCGTCGTCGCCGCCGCGGTCGCCGTCGCGGTCGTCGTCGTCGTCGTCGTCGCCGTCATCGTCGCCGTCTCCGTTATCGTCGCCGTCGCCTTCCCTGCCGCCGTCGCCGTCGTCGTCGTCGTCGCCGTCGCCATCGGTTTCGCCGTCGCTGTCGCCGTCGTCGTCTTCGTCGTCGTCGCCGTCGCCGTCGTCGCCGCTGTCGCCGTCGCCGTCGCCGTCGTCGCTGTCGCCGTCGTCTTCGCTGTCGCCGTCGTTGTCGCCGTCGCCGTCGTTGTCGCCGTCGTCGTCGCCGTCGTCGTCGCCGTCGCCGTCGCCGTCGTCGTCGCCGTCGCCGTCGTCGTCGTCGTCGTCGTCGTCGTCGTCGCCCTTGCCATCGCCGTCGCCCAAGCCCCGTCGCCGCCGTCGCCGTCGCCGCCGCTGTAGCCGTGGTTGTCGCCGTCGCTGTGGCCGTCGCCGCCGTTGCCGCCGTCGCCGTCGCCGTGTCCGACCCCCCAGAGGTCTGGACCCCTTCCCTGGGACTGGCTTTTCATCCGGAGTCGTCTCTTGACGGCCCCGAGGCCCGGTGAGGGCCCCCAGAGGCAAAAAACTGTTCAAAAACTTGTCGTCATGATCGCCAAAAGGCCCGCCTGGAGCAGGAGGTGGCGGGCTGCGCTTCGAGCTGGCCGCCGCCCGGGCGGGCGTGTGGCTGCGCAGCGGCCGCGCGCGGGAGCCCCGCGCGGCGGGGGCGCCCGGGAGCGCTGGCGACTCCGAGCGAGCGCCGCAGGGCCCGGGCGGGTCGCGCTCGCCGGCGAGCCGATGCCGTCGTCGTCGTTGTCGTCGTCGTCGCCGTCGTCGTCGCCGTCGCCGTCGCCGTCGTTGTAACTTTCGTTGTCGCCGTCGTCCGCACAGCCGCCGTCGCCGTCGCCTGCGCCTGTCGCCTGTCGCCGTCGTCGCCGACGCCATCGCTTTTGCCGTTGCCGTCGCCGTCGCCATCGTCGCCGTCGTCGTTGCCGTCGTCGCCGTCGCCGTCGCCGTCGCTGTTGTCGTCGCCGCCGTCGTCGCCGTCGCCGTCGTCGTCGCCGTCGCCGTCGCCGCCGCTGTAGCCGTCGTTGTCGCCGTCTCTGTGGCCGTCGCTGCCGTTGCCGCCGCCGTCGCCGCCCCCGTCGCCGTCGTCGTCGCCGTCGTCGTTGTGTCCCCGTCGCCGTCGTCGTCCAAGTTCTGCCTCGGCTGGGCCCGCCGAGGCCGAGCTGAAGATCCCCGAGGCCGCGCCGGAGCGGGACCTCCTGGCGCTCCCGCAGGAGGAGCCCGGCGTCGGGTGATCGTGGCGGGCGTCTGGGGAGAGGGGGCCCCATCGGCTACACTTAAGTCGGGCCTGTCCCTCTACAGGGGGAATATTCAAAAGTCGTAAAACAATGGTCTGGGGACTATTTTTGGAGTATTTTTGGGTATCTTTGAGCATTTTTGGGGTATTTTTTATTTTTCGTCCAAAATCCCCCTGTAGGGGGACACGCCCGACTTAAGGCTACACGCAGGAGTGGCCCTCCGCCGCAGGGACCTTGGACGCGGCTCTCCTGGAGGCCCCCAAACCTCGGAGGTCTAGAGGTTGACACCAACACCAATGTCGACCAATGTCGGCGGTGTGCCTCCACCGAGGGAAGATGGTCCCGATCTCGGTGATGGCGGTAATACTCGGGCTTCGAAGGTGGCCGAAGGATTACCAATAGGAGCAGCTTCCCCCGGATGAGGCAGAGCCCGGTGTTGGTGCTGGCACCAATGTCCAGGCCTCCCACAACGGTGTGGTGACCACACCGCGTGGCAAGTCAGTGCGGCCCCGCGGTCCCCGCGCGGTTTTTGGGGGTCTCGGGCCGTTCTCCGGGGATGTGTGGCCAGACCGCAGGCCGAGCGCGCAGACCGCTGCCACCGCGCCGCATGCAGCAGTCGGCACGGCGCGCACCCCGGCCCGGGGCCACTCCTGCGCGCCTCCGGCTCCGCAGCAGGGCCTTTGCCCCCGAGGCGTCGAGCTGCCCCCAGCAGAGATCCTGGCGTCGCAATGCCTGCGCACCGTGTGCTCCCCCCTCCGGTGTGGGCGCCTCGCCCCCCCCGCTCCCCCCCTGGCCCCCGCAGGCCGGTCCGGCTCGAGAGGCGCCGCGGAGAGGCGGGGTCCTGCCGCTGGGGTTCTGGCCGTGCTGCGTCGGCGCTGCTGGCGCGGTGGCCTGCGCCGTCGGATAGCTCGGGGCGGCACCGGTCTCCTGGCGGCGGAGGCCAGCCCCGCAGGCCGATCCTGGCTCGAGGAGCGCCGCGGAGAGAGGGGTCCCCATGGGGCTCTGGCCGAGCGGGGGGCGAGGACGAGGATCAATCCGTTCCCGGAGCGCTCTGAGATCGGGTGTTGCTAGAAGTTCTACTGGCCCACCCAAGGTGCCCCCAGGATTTCCAACGAGGCCCCCACGGCCTCCAGAGCACCCCTCACGAGACCCAGAGGGCGTCCAAAATGAAGCGAAAAGCTGGTTGCACCTTGGGCCAGGGGCACTTCTAGCAACACCCGATGAGAAGGCTGCGGCGCCCGATACATCTTCCAGAGCCGCCAGCTCTCAGGGAGTCCCCCCGATCTTATCCTTGTCCTGGCTTCGTCTTGGGTCTCTCTGGGGATCTGGCCGTGATTCATCGGCGGTGCTGCGCTTCAGCTTGCGCGGTCGGAGCTCGGGGCTGGCCGGCACCCTCCGTCCTGGAGGAGGCAAGCGGCGTCGCTGGGGGAGGTTGGCCTGCTGGGAGCCATGAAGTCAAGGAGGGCGCTGCCGGTGTGAGGCCACTGGAAGGCCAGCAGGGCGCGACAGGAGTGGAAGTTACTCCCCGCCAGGAGATTTTATTGTTTTTGCGTTGTTTTCCCAATCGTTGTTGTGTCACGCCTAGAATGTAGATATGAATCTGCCACACGCAGAGGGGGTGTAGGGGGAGGGGAGAAGGCTTCCTTGAAGCACCCCTGCTTCTTAGAAGGTGCGGGCCTTCTCTATAGATGCAGGGCCAGCGCCTTCTAAGACGCAGCCTCCTTCTAAGAAGCCCTCCCTCCTCCCCCTTCCCCCTTGTGCGCGCCGCCAAATGAGTAGTTATGCTGTTAGCCAGCCTGGACCCCAAACAGCGTGTTTCTAGAAATAGGCGTGGTGCAATCTATGTAGTGCAAACTAATTTTTGTTCGCAGTGAGTTGTCCACTCCACTGCTCGCGCAAACATCCCACCCACCCACCCGCAACTTGGTTTGCAAAATCTTTTAAGACCGTGGCGGTGGGTACCAAATGGCACTTGGCAACGACAGCGACGCCGACGACGACAGCGACAACGACGACGACGCCGCCGACAACGACTACGACGACACCGACGATGTCTCCTACGATTTCGACGACGCCGACAACGACGACGACGATGACGACGACGACGACGACGACGACGGCGACGACGACGACGACGACGACGACGACGACGCCGACGTCGACGCCGACGCCGCCGCCGCCGCCGCCGCGCCGACGACGACGACGACGACGACGATGACAACGACGACGACGATGACGACGCCGACGACGACGACAACGACGACACAGACGACGACGACGTCAACGACGACGACGACGACGGCGGCGACGACGACGACGACGCCGACGTCGACAACGACGAAGACGACGACGCCGACGCCGACGACGACGAAGACGACGACGACGTCGCCAACGCAGAAGACGACGAGGGAGGAGGGAGGACGACGACGGCGACAACGACGACAACGACGACAACGACGAGGGAGGAGGGAGGACGACGACGACGTGAACGACGAAGCAGGAGGAAGGGCGGCGACGCCGACGACGCCAACGACGAGGGAGGAGGGAAGACGACGCCGACGAAGACGACGACGATGACGACGACGACGACGATGGCGACGAAATAGGAGGGACGACGACGAGACGCCGACGACGGACGACGACGACGAGGGAGGAGGAGGAAGGACGACCACGGCGACAACGACGACGGAAACGACCACGACGCCAAAGAGGACGACGACGACGAACACGAGGAAAGACAGAGGACGACGTAGGCGACGACGACGACGCGGGAGAAGGGAGGACGGCGACGACGCCGACGACGACGACGCAAGAGCGCTCGCGCACGTTTTTGTTGAACATCCGTGTTGCGAAACCTTTTGTTGTTGTAGGTTTTTTGAACACTATTTTGAAATCCTTCCGAAACCGAAGGGTTTTGAAGGATTTCGGCATACGCGCGCGACGAAGCGCGCGTCTGCACTTCGTCCCATTTGTTGTAGAGGATTCTCGCGACGGCACACGCGCAAGGGCGTTCGACAGATTTCGACATGCGCGCGCGAAGCCCGTTTGGTAGCATTTTTGTGAAACTTTTGAAAAAATGGTTTTCTTAAGATTTCGCAAGAGCTCGCGCGTAAGCTTTTTTAGCAAATCCGTGTTGCGGAACCCTGTGTTTTTGTATGTCTTTTGGAAACTCGATTGCGAAATCCTCCCGACACCGAAGGTTTTTGAAAGATTTCGGCATGGTCGCGCGACGACGCGCGCGTGTGCACTTCGTTCCATTTTTTGCAGGAGGGATTTGTGAACAAGTCTCATGTTAGAACCAAAAATGTCCCCGCGTATTGTTGTTTACACGGGAACCTCAGGGGGAGCGATACCAGCCCCTCTGGGATAGTGTAAATTCATATCTCGGATGGACATGCGGTCAGAATCATATTTGACTTACATACCCGAAGGGGGGGCGGATAACGCCGGGGGGGGGTAGAGTCGGTTATTTATTTTGAAAGGGAGAATTTGGCGACGGGGCGGCGCCGGGGCGGCGATGGCAACATAGCCGCCAGACATATCAGGACCAGGTCCTGAGATAAACCAGAAACCCTATGTGCAAGAAGTGTTTGTGGATCACACGTGCATATTTATATGTACGTGCATACACAATATATACATATGCATCTATATCCTTAAGCATATGCATGTACGTGTGCATATGTATGTTAACCAGCGTGGATCCCCCCCAATTCGTTCATTACACCCCTGACGGCAGAAGACCCCAAGCAGTTTTTTGGATGAAAGGGCCCTACGTTGAGTACGAGATCGGTGGACGGAGAGGAAGGAGTCACGCAGGGAGCACTTTGGAGAGTGCCTGTGGGAGACCATCGGGGAGACCAGAATGGAAAACATATGGAAGACCTTACAGGAGACGAGATGGAAGACCAGACGAGAGATCACACGGGAGACCATACGGGAGACCAATCAGGAACCCATATGGGAAGCCATGCGGCAGACCATACGTGAGACCATCATCAGAGGAGTCCATGCGGCTCGCTATACGGAAGGCCATCATGCTAGATTCCATGAATCACCGAGTCCAGATCCAACAGTTCCCACACGGGGGCCATCGAACAAGCATGCAGAACCCTCAGAACCCTCACATTCGCCGAAGAAGCATCTCGAACACTTCTACTCTCCATCCCGGCCTCTTCGTTCCCCAGACTCCGGACTTCGCCCCTCCTGTTCCCTTTCCAGGGCCAGCTCTCTGCACCTACTTCTGGGGACCTCGAGACGGCCCCTGGCGAAGACCTCGGGGCTCCTGGCCTCGAATCGACCTCCCGGCCTGTCTTGAGGCGCGGTCTGACCAGAATCTCGAAGGGAACCCAGACGTGGCGACCTCCTGGAGCTCCCCCCACCTCCCCCGAAAACTGCTCAGAAAGGGCCCCCAGACTCGAACCTCGACCCTGGATCCTCGAGCGCCCCCCCCCCCCCGAAAACTGTTTGGAAGTGGCCCCCAAGCATCGAACCTCGCCCCTGGATCCTCGACCGAGATCGGCCACGAGGCCTTTCCCTGGTCTGCGTCCCCAGTCAGAGCATTCCGAGCCCGGCTGCGTCGACCGCAGCGCCCCGAGGACGCCCGAGGAGGCCCCCAAGCCGGGCAGAAGCATCGGCCTTCTACATCTCCCCAGTCCCCCTCCTCCTCCTCCTCCTCCTCCTCCTCCTCCTCCTCCTCCTCCTCCTCCTCCTCCTCCTCCTCCTCGACCTTCTACATCTCCCCAGTCCTCCTCCCGTGCCACCCCTGTCGAGCAGGGCATCGACTGCAGAATTGATTCACCCCAGATCCTGTATCCTCGATCCCCCTCACGCACTACCTCTCTCGAGTAGGGCATCGACTACGTGTGGAGTTGCCCCAGGATTTACTTGTCCTCCGGGCCTGCGAAGCATGCATCGAATGCTGCGTATTATATCTACGGACCAGGCTAAGCATTTTTTCATATTCGACGGACCAACTACTTCCAGGGGTAGATCGATTCTGTGGCCGATTCCCCCTTCGACCCCTCCCGCGTCGCCCCTCGCCTCCGCCCCCGCCGCCCACAGCTGCACTCGCCGCCGCCGCCGCCGCGGCCGTGGCGCCGCGGCCGTGGCGCCCCTGCCGTGGCGGCGTGGCCGCCGTCGCCGCCGCCGGCGCGCCGGCCGCGGGCGGCGGGCGGTTGCCGCCGCCGATGCCGCCGCCGCGGGCAATCGCCGCCGCGGTGGTCGCCGCCGCGGGGCGGCCGCCGCGGGCGGTCGCCGGCCGCCGCCGCCGCCGCGGACGAGGCCGCCGCCGCTTTTACGCCGTCGGCGTCGCCGCCGCCGTCCGCCGTCGGCGAGGACGGCGGGGCCGAGCCGGGCGCCCCGCCGGCCTGCGCCGCCGCGGCGGCGTGCCCGCTCTGCGGCAGGCAGTTCAGGCCGGGGGCCTCCACAAAAGTCTGGCGGCGCGCGGCGGGGCCTTCGGCGTGCTCGGCGGGCTCGGCGGGGAGGTCGCTGTGCTCAGGGAGGGCTCGGGCAGAGTTTGGGGACGCCGTGTCGTGCCTTTTTGACTACTTGTTTGTTTTGTTTTTTTTCCTCTGGAAGACAGCATGTTTTCTCTTGGGATTTTTTTTTGGTTTTTTCTGTTGAAGCAAAAAAGCATGTTTTCTCTTGCTCCCCGAACCCGTCTGCAGGAGGACGTGCCCGACCGAAGGCTCGGCCCTCGCGCAGGGCCCTCGCCGTGGGCTCTGCGGAGCGCGCGGCCCCCCCCCCCGCGGAGCCCCGCGGAGGCGCGGGGGGGGGGCGCCTGCGGCAGGGCGCCCCCCGGGCCGCCCGCCGCCGCGCGCCCTCGGCCCCACGCGGCGGGCGCTGCGCGAGGGCCGAGGGTCGAGGGCCGATCGAGGGTCGAGGTCGCTCCAGGGTCGAGGGTCGAGGTCGCTCGAGGGTTCGAGGGTCGAGGTCGCTCGGGGGTCGAGGGTTCGAGGGTCGAGGGTCGATCGGGGGTCGATCGGAGACGGCAAAGAGGTGCCCGTACCTCTGTACCCTTCCCTCGTCTTCCCCCGTTTGGGCCTCCTGGGAGGTCCTCGTCGCCACCGCTGGATTCGCCTCGAAATCCTGGTCAGAACGCACCCCAGGAGAGGTCTGGAGAGCAGCGGCATCGGTACCTTTTGGTTTCCCCAGTCGAGGTCGCTCCAGGGTCGAGGGTCGAGGTCTCTCGAGGGTCGACGATCGAGGGTCGAGGGTCGGGGGTCGATCGAGGGTCGAGAGTCGATCGAGGGTCGAGGGTCGAGGTCGCGTCCAATGCGAGGCCAGGCCTCCGGCCTCTTCCCGCCCACTCCTGGCGAGCTCTGGCCCCCCACGGTGTCGGGTGCGGCCGAGAAGGCCCGGGGGATGGCCCAATCTTGCGGCGGCGTGCTGGGTTGCAGTGGTGGCATCACCGTCACCTGCGGGGCTAGCCCTCAGGCATAGAGTGCGAGAGAACGTTTTTTATTCGGGAGTCTGGCAGATCTGCTTGCGTGGCATTGGCCCCCCTCCTCCTCCCCCTTCGCCGCCACTTCGAACGGCGCTGGGTCCAAGGGGCGTGCAAGTGATGAGTCCCCACTGGCGTGAAGTCCAGATTCTTTGTCGGGTCTCGCCACGCCCTTCTCCCAACTCCATGCACGACAATTTTCGGGAGTTTAGAATTATCGGCCTCGGATCGCAGCCTTCCGGAGGGCTCTGCTGGGCGCTGTGCAGGCGTGCCGAGCTGCGTGGAGTCTGGATTCGCGTCTGGAGATAGGTTCGATCCCGCCCTCGCCACAGCCTTTTGTGCTAACTTGCCAGCACTCGTCCGCGGATCTGTCCCTTTACAGCGCAGCTTGCAGAGGCCGCTGCATCTCGAGTTGGCCTGTCGGGTGCACCTCTCGCAGATCAGAAGCCTTCCCCTGGGCAGCAATCCATGGACGGGAAGCTCGGCCAATTCCACCCTGCCCTCTCGCACAGTCGGAAGCCCGTCTGCCTGAGGGCGCCCCTCGCAACCGTGTCACCCATCGACTGCCCCTGGGACCCGCAGAAGTCCTCGGACACACTGAAGTCTAGGGTTCAGTCGGGCACGTCCCTCTACAGGAGGAAAGCTCAAACATAGTCAAAAGATAGCCTGGGCACGATTTGTCCATTATTTTTGACTATTTGTTGAATGTTTTGTTGAACTTGTCTCCCAAAATCCGCCTGCAGGAGGACATGCCCGACCGACGTCTCGAGGGATCGGTTCCACGGACTTTCCCACACTTGAGGCCGTCGACCCGGACCCCTGCCACCGCTCCTGCCCGGCCAGTCTTGTGGGCCCAGGACTGGTTGTTCCGGGGGTGGACAGACCGTCTACCCGGACACGTCGATTGAGGCATGGGCCGTCTTCGGTTCGCGAGAGGCCGTCGCGGCCGTCATGTTTGCGGGTCCGGGTCCGTCGGTTTCGGTCCCAGGCCGTTGTCACTGAGGGGAGGTCTACGAAAGGGAGGTTTGTCCAGCGCCGATGGTTTTTTAATGCTGTCGTCGCCATGGCCTCCAGGGCGCATGCACGGATCGCGGGCCCAGGATGGGCCCGGCCAGGACGGGCGGGGGTGCTCCGCTCGGAGCAGGGTCTTGCCCCCTCGGCCCCTCCTCGTGCTGATCCAGGCCAAGTCCAGCGCTCCCCGTAGTATTGATCCATGGAAGGGGAGGGGGCTACACAGCCGTGACAAGATCTCTCCCATCCCATGGAAGTTTCTTCCATTTGCTATGATGAAGATCTCTCCCATCCCTCTCAAGATTGCTAACGTGACATGGATGCTGGGGTCATTCGGCGGAGTAGTATCCGATCCCGGAGGCGTTAAGAACTCTGTTACACCAAAACGGGATCGGAAACAACTCCTCGCCAAACCATACAAATTATCGAGCGGGATGCGATTGCGCGCGGAGTAGTTTTAGTAAAACTAATCCGAACTACTCCGCACGAGCGCGTCATTCCAAAAGGCAAATTGAAAGAAACTTTCGTCACGGCGATGTATGCTTCCCCTGGGAGCTGGCGCCCTCTGATAAGAGCAAGGTCTTTTATTTTCACGTGTCCACTGAAGGCGTGCGAGCATCACCCGAGGCAGCGTCGCGAGAAATCACGAGACGCCATCGATCTGCTGCGCTGATCGAGACGGGTCAATCTGTGTTGGTCTGGGGGCCCGAATCGGCGGCGAGCGAGGGGGGCAAGTGAGAAAGCGAATCGGGATCCCGCAAAGGGGGGGGCCCCCGGTTGTGTGTGAGTTCGATCGGTTTTGCAGCCTTCTGAGAAGTTGTCTGTGCCTTCCGAGAAGGCTCATACAATTTCTCGAAGGCCGATGGACTTCATACAATTTCTCGAAGGCCAGGGGACTTCCGAGCCTTCTGAGGAGGCCAGGCCTTTCTCACTTCCCCCTGGGCTCGCCGCCGACCGAAACCCACCGAAGAAGCATTGTGTGAAACCATCGCAACGTCCAGATCTCAGCTTCGGAGGGGGTGTGTCGAGATTGGTTCGGTGGCGGCTCGCGCGCGCGCGCCTGCGCAAGGCCTCGCGGGGGCAACGCCTTCGAGTCCATCCTGAAGCACCTGCGCGCTGACGCTCAGCGTTCTCGGGCCCCGTCCCTCGCCGGGAAGCCCGTGAGGAGTGCGTGGAGGATGAGGAGGAGGGGGAGGACGAGGATGAGGAAGAGGAGGAGGAGGAGGAGGAGGAGGAGAAAGAGGAGGAGGAGGGCGAGGAAGAGGAGGAGGAGGAGAAGGAGAAGGAGGAGGAGGAGGAGGAGAAGGAGGTGAAAGAGGAGAAGGAGGAAGAGGATGAGGAGGACGAGGACGATGAGGAGGAGGAGGAGGAGGGGGGGAGGAGGAGGGCGAGGAAAGGAGCAGGAGCAGGAGGACAAGGAGGAGGAGGAGAAAGAGGAGGAGAATGAGGAGGAGAAGGAGGAGGAGGGGGAGGAAGAGGAGGAGGACGATGAGGACGAGGAGGAGGAGGAGGCAGGAGAGGAGGAGGAGGAGGAGGAGGAGGAAGAGCAGAAGGAGGAGGATGATGATGAGGAGGAGGAGGAGGAAGAGGAGGAGGAGGAGGAGTACGATGAGGATGATGATGCTGCTGCTGATGATGCTGTTGATAGTGATGCTGATGCTGATGGTGATGATGATGATGATGACGCTGCTGCTGCTGATGCTGCTAATGATGTCCATGACGAGATTGATGATGAGTTTGGTGATTATGATGATGATCATGATGATGGTGATGACGCTGCTGCTGCTGCTGCTGATGATGCTTATGACGATGATGATGCTGCTGCTGATGATGATGATGATGATGATGTTGCTGATGCTGATGATGCTGATGACGGTGTTGCTGATGCTGATGACGGTGACGGTGACGATGCTGTTGTTGATGATGATGTTGATGATGATGATGGTGAGGATGCTGATGCTGATGATGATGATGCTGATGATGATGCTGCTGATGCTGATGATGCTGATGATGATGATTGTGATGATGACGATGGTGATGCTGTTACAACTGTTGATGCTGATGCTGACGATGATGATGATGATGATGATGATGATGCTGATGATGATGATGATGGTGATGATGATGATGATGATGATGATGATGATGATGATGATGATGATGAAGCTGATGATGATATGCTGATGCTGATGCTGCTGATGATGATGCTGATGATGATGATGATGATGATGATGAGGAGGAGGAGGAGGAGGAGGAGGAGGAGGATACGGATGAGGAGGACAAGGAGGAGGAGTAGAACGCGGAGGAGGGGGAGGCGGAGGAGGAGGAGGAGGAGGGCGAGGGAGAACAAGATGAGGAGGAGGAGGAGGAGGAGGAGGAGGAGGAGGGGCAGGAACAGGAGGAGGAGGAGGAGGAGGAGGAGGAGGAGAAGCAGGGCGGCGAGGAGGAGGAGGAGGAGGGCGAGGGGGAGGAGGAGGAGGAGGCAGAGGAGGAGAACGATGCGGAGGAGGAGGAGGCGAACGAGGAGGATGAGGACGATGATGATGCTGCTGCTGCTCGTGCTTCTGCTGGTGCTGCTGCTGATGATGCAGCGGGCGACGACGACAACGACGACGATGATGCTGATGATGGTGATGATGATGATGCTGATGATGCTGATGATGCTGCTGCTGATGATGATGATTCTGCTGATTATGTTGACGACGATGATGCTGGTCATGCCGATGATGCGGCTGATGCTTCTGATACTGGTGATGATGATTCTGAGGATGATGGTGATGGCGATGATGGTACCGTTAATGCTGATGCTGATGATGCTGATGATGATGATG